ATCCAGGGAGCTGGAGATCGGGGACACCAGAGATATTTGGGGTGGAGGAACAAGCAGGTGTTTTCCATTCTGTACCCACTGCAAACACGACCAAAAACCTGTCCATGGAGCCGCTGCACCCTGCTGTCCGCAGGGACCCGCTCCCGCAGCTGGAGAGCGGCAGGGGGGATGATGCCCGGGGCAGGGCTGGGGGGGTGCAGGAGCGGGGGATGCCCGGGGACGCTCGGGGATGCTCGGGGATGCTGGCGGCGGGCGGCAGCGCGGGGCCGGCGGCGGGCGGAGCCCCCGGGGGTGGCGGATGGCGGCGCCGCCCCCGGCGCGGACACCGGGGCGGGGCGGGGCGGGCGGGAGCGCCCGGTGCCGCCGGCGGCGCGGGGGGCGCGGGGCTCCGTCCCCGCCCGAGCGCGGCGCCGCTGCCGGAGGATGAGCTGCGGCCGGCCCAAGGACATGGAAGGTACCGGGCGCGGACGGGGGGGCTCAGGTGCGCGGCGGGACGCGCTTCCCTCAGCCGCCAACGCGGCGGGCACGGACCTGGCGAGCCACCCCATCCCAGGGGCCGCCCTCCATCTCCCCCCGCTGCTGTCCCCTCCATCCTGGGGGTCTGTCCGTCCTCCATCCCCCGGTGCTGCCCCCTCCGTGCCGGGGGTCTGTTCTTTATCCCACCCCGGTGCTGCCCCCTCCGTGCCGGGGTCTGCCTGCCCTCGTCCCCAGTGCTGTCCTCTCCATCCCGAGAGTCAGTCCCTCCACATTCCCCTTTACTGCCCCACTCCGGGGAGAGGCTGTCCCCCTGCCCTACCCTCGGGATTGTGGTGTACCAATGAAATGGGCTGGAAAATTTGGCTAGGGCAAAGGGATGCAGGTGTGAGGACAGGGCAGGCAGGCCTGGGGGTGCTGGAGCAGGGCAGGACCCCCGGGAAGAGCATGTCAGGGTGGAAGGGGGCTCAGTGCAGGCAGGAGTGCCCATGCCTGTGGGCTCCCACACCTGCCAGGAGAACCTGGAGTCCTGCCCACTGCCCTCACCCCACACTCTCACACTGTCCAGCCCAAGTCCTCATGGGGTGCTCAGAGACCTTTTGGCAGTACCCTGGCAGTCTCAGGAGCACAGATATCCCAAAGGCATGGACATCCCCCCAGACACTGTGCCCACTCCCTCAGCGTGTGCCCAGGGCAACCATCGTGCTGCACAGGGAGGACAGAAAGGACATTTGCCTTTTGTTCCCTTCCTCTGTCCTCGGGAGGCACCAGCAGTGGGCAGCCACCAGCCTGAGCTCTGGCGGGGACTCTTATCTCATCTCTGCAAGCTGAGAATTCAGAGGGAAGCGCTGGGGTGACACTCACCACACCCAGGGCCTGACCCAAGTACACTCCAGGGGAAGCTGGAGAGGCTGGAGGAGGTGTCAGTCCTCTCTGAATCTGGTTTCATCTTCCTCAGATCTTAGGGAATAGCTCAGGACAGGATCTGGTCCATCCTATAGGCACAGCTTCAAAGATGGGATGTGTGGGGATCCCAGAGAGCCTCACTGGAATGATCATCCCTGGAGGCTCCACCAGCTCCTGCACCAGGGTGAAGCCACCCTTGGAAGGGGCAGAGGGGACCGGGGCAATGGCAACGCCAGCTGAGCTCATGGCTCATGCCACTAAAAGCAGGATGAGTTCTTCACAAAGCTGCTCCCTCAATTGAGCAAATTCCCTAGGTCCTCAGAGAGTCCTGGGAGTCCTCAGAGACTTCTGCTCCCATCCACCCTTCCTTCACCTGCCTGCAGGAACACAAGAGAGATGACCAGCTCCCCAAATCCACCTCCAATTATAAACAAATCCCTAATTTTATTCAGTGCTAAACATCTCTTTCCCTCCCAAACGCCGTGTGAGAACCCACCCGTAAGGGTCATCACACACAGGCAGCCAGGCAAGCCAACAGAGTGATTTCATTCCTTGTGGAGCTTGTCTCAAGCTTCTCCCCTTAATCCCGGGAATCCTGTCTGACCCGGGAAGCCTGGCTGCCCGCCCTGAGCTGCCTGCAGGCACGGCCCCATCTGGAGGGCAGGTCTGTGGGACAGCCGCGATGGCATCAGAGACACGGGGATGCTCCTGAGGCCGTGGTGAGAAGTGGTGGCAGAGGACAGAACAGGAGTCTGCCTGTCCAGGCTCCCTGTGCCCCTGCCCGCTCCTCCTGCAGCTCGGCTGTGTGCCACCGTGTCGCCCGGGCAGCTCCTGGTCACCTGCGAGCAGGGAGCACCGGCGGGAAGTGCCCTGGCAGCCGGTTTGCTGCTGGTGATCATTTCGGGGAAACTGGCACCCACAAGGAAATGCTTTAGCCGGGGAATGCTGCCACATCCTGCCCCGAGGTGCCCAGCCCCGCGAGGTTTCCCGTCCCTGTCCCCAGCAGCAGCTGCTGCTGCTCTGAGCCTCTCCGGCGCTCACGTTTCACCAGCCATAAAAGTGTCTGGAGAGGGAATGGCAGCGGGGACGGGGAGGGGACGGGAGGGAGCCGTGGCTGTCCCTGTCCCACCGCTGCCGGTCCCCCTGCCGTGACCCGGACCTGGCCTCCCCCTCCTGCCAGCCTGGAGAGGTGCCCAAAATGGATCAAAGAGCCATGGAAACAAGCCGGCAGCCATTCCCCCGGCGAGCAGGCAATGGGGTGTCACTCACGGGGGCAGGCAGAGGGGCACAGGGAGCCGAGACCAGCTGGCAGGGACTCGGAATAGTGGGGTCACAGTGGCTGTTTGGGGAGCTGAGCTGAGCTGAGCTCTCCCCTCCCCGCTCCAGCTCGGGCTCAGCCAGCCTGGACGTTCCTGCATTCCCGTGTCAGGGTCCAGCACAGCCTCTGCTCTGTGGCACCCCCACTTCTGCCGGGACCCCAACACGACCACGGCCATGAGGGCTCTGTCAGGAGCAGGTGCAGCCCGCACCGAGCCCTACGGCCCCTTCCCCTTAAGGCTGTTCTCACCACGCTCCTTCTCTTTCCTCCTTCACCCGGCCGCCCTAAGCCAGTGCCTCGGTGGTGCCACACTCGTGCCATGGCTCCCTTGTGCCCTTTGATGCCCGGGGGGCTCAGTGTCCCCTGCAGCAGCCCCCCAGGCTCCCTGCCCATTCCAGTGCCAGCTGGTACTGCCGCGGGATTAGGCGGGAGCAGGAGAGGAAAGCACCGAGCATCTCCGGGATCAGACGCCCCCGGGGCAGCGGGGAGGGGGTGTCGGTGTCATTCACCCCCTGTCCGTGTGCGAGCGGCTCTGGCCGCCCGGAGCGGGGCTAAGCGAGCAGCCGGGGCTCAGAGCAGCGGGAGGGAGGCGCTCGGGGGAATCAGTCAGGTGTGGACGAGGTATGAGGGGAGGCAGGGATGGAGCCGCACTCGTGACAGCGGTGCCGAGCGCTCACGCGCATCCCTCCTCCCGCCGAGATGCAGCAGGGCCGGCCATCCCTCTGCTGCGTCTCCACCATCCGCAGCTCGCAGGGACCACCCGAGCCAGGTGAGGGCTCTTCAGGGCATGGCCGGGGGGCTGTGGGGCCGGCGGGCCTCGGGGGAGATGCTGCATGAGCGTTCCTGGCCGGAGGGCACAGCCGCAGGCTTGGTGGAGAGGGGCGGAGGGGGTGGAGGGCGGCTGGTTGCTCCTGGGGATGCTGTGGCTGCTCCCTGTGCAGGGCAGGGAAAGAGAGCCCGCGCTGGATGTCACCCCCTTGTCCCTGCATGGAACCAGCCCAGGGCTGTCCTGACACGGGGCTCCTCTGTCCCCATCCTTCCCTTGCTCCAAATCGCTCCCACATGCCCTGCTCACCATCCCTACCGTCCCATGTCGGGTGCTGCCAGGTGATTGGAAAGTTGGGATGCAAGGGCTGGGCTGGGGAAACTGAGACTGTGGAGGAGCTGCTGGAGCCAGGGCCTCTGGGCTGCTCCCATGGACAGCCATGCCCCTAGAGCTCCCAGAGCTGCCTTTCTTCCTGGTTCATTTTTCCTTTCCACTTTCACCCCTCTTTCCCATCTGCTGCTGCTCCTGGGGTTGTCTTCAGCAGAGTTTGCTGCAGGAGCAGAGATGCCCATGTCCTGCTGCTGGAGGCAGCTGCTCCATGGCTCCCTATGGATTTGGGTCCTGCTGATGGCCAAAACCCCCTTCCCTCTACTCCCTGTAGCAAGCCCTGGCACCGCTGAAGGACACAATTCGGGCAGCAGCCCCTCCAGACCTGCCAGGTTTATATCTGCCACAGCACCCAGTGGGATGAGCAGGTTCCAGCTCAGAGGTATCCCAGCAGAGCTGCAGTGCTCAGGGTGACAGGGACAGTGGCACCTCAGACATCCCTGGCTGGAGGGAGCACAGCCCGCTCTGGTCCTCACCCGACAGGCCCAGGGTGTCTGAGACTGCTGGAAGTCACGCAGGACAGGCACAGAGACCACCCCTGCCAGTCCTGCCTCTGCTCCCCACTGAGCCTCTCCATGGATCTGCCTCCACCTTGTGTTCTCTAAAATCACTTCCCCAGCCATCAGACAGGTCCCCTGCCTCAGCTTCCCCATGGCAATGCTTCCTGCTGGGTGTGTTTCAGAAACAGCACTGTGTGATGTGGTCTGGGTATCCTGGGGCAACTCTTTTTTGCTCTGTTTTGACTTTTTTTGGCCCGTTGTTCTCCTATTGCACAAAGGTGTACTTGAATGGGCTCTTTGAAAATTCTTCCCTCTTAAAACCTGCTAATTAGGAAAATGAGCTGCATTAGGATTTCTCCAGCCCTCCTGCTCTCTCAGGGTGGTTTGTCCTGGAAATGGGTTTCCTTTGGGTGCTGCTCTGCTCTTGGAGGAGGTTCATGACTTGCCTGGCTCCCCGTGGTGGGAGCAGGTGAGCTGGGGGATGCTCCAGTCTTTGCCTCTGCAGATCAGAGCTGCTTATGTCAAGCTGTCTGGCTTTTATCCGGAGCAGCCAGAGCATGAGCCCCTAATACCCACTCACCCTCCTCCTGTGCCAGCTGGGGCCCTTCAGCCCCCCCCTTTGCAACCTCATTGTAACCCCAGCACCCCCAGCTTGTTAAAACACAAAGAATTGGATTTTAATGACCTTTGTGGGTCCCTTCCAACTCACAATATCCTATTATTCTATGAATAAGGGACAAAAAGCACTTGTTGTGGGTAAATGTTTTTTTGTGGTCGTTATTGAAGGGCTGGTGTGTGTTTGGCCATGTAGCTGTCCCCAGGTACCCATGGTCTGTTCTAGGGGACCAGCCTGCAGTCTCTGCTCCCCTTCCCTCGGTGGTGGCAGTTTGCTGCCAGCCTGGGCCATGGGATGCAGCTGCCCTGGGCCTCCTCCTGGTCCCTGTCCCAGCAGGGTGGCAGTGACAAGCAGGAGGTTCTCACCACGTGTTGGGGATCAGCTGCAGGTCCTGTGTCTGCTCGGCTGGCGGGTGTCAAAACAAGCGTCGCTCGTGAGGGGTTTGTGTGGGCAAACATCTTGTCGGGCGCCTGCTGGATCCCAGCGCCAGCTGGCGTTCCTGGGCTGGTGGATTTTCTTCTTGGCAATGGGGAAGGAAGGCAGGAACGGGGAGTTTTTGGAGAGAAGGGCCCACAGCCTGAGTAGAAAAAGGGTAGAAAAGGCACTTTTGGGTGCCCCGGAGTGGGATGGATGGGCACCACGGCTGTCTCTCACCCCCCTTCCCTCTGCAGCCGCCGCTGCCGCCTCTGCTCACTTCAGCTTCTGCCGCAGCCTCCTGGAGCACACGGTGTCGGCCGAGAACCTGAGCTACCGCCTGCAGCGCGCCGCGGGCAGCAGCCTCACCTGGCACGACGGCCGCAGCCAGCGCCCCGACGGCCCCGGGCGCACCGTCAAACTCCTGCGGCAGCCGGGCACCGAGGGCTCGCAGGTACCCACAAACACCCCGGGTGTGCCCAGGGTCTGCCAGACCCCTACAGGTACCCACACCCACCCAGGGCATGCCCAGTGTGTGCCAGACCCCTGCAGGTACCCACACCCACCCTGGACATGCCCAGAGAACACAGTGTCTGCCAGACCCCTACAGGTACCCACACCCACCCCAGGCATGCCCAGGGGAGCACAGTGTGTGCCAGACCCCCTGCAGGAGCATCCCCTCTTTCCTTGCAGGATCAGGCCTTCAGATCGTGCTTTGCTGGAAGTTCTCGTGGTTGCTGGGTGTTTAGTTATAGTGACATGTAAACATCATCATGTGTTTTCATCAGGCCTCGTGCTGTGCTGGGATGAGCTCTCTGTGTCACCTCCTCTCTGCGTGTCACCTGCCATCCCACCTGCAGATGGGACTTAAAACCCTTTTGCATTAAATATGCCAGGACCAAATTCCTTATAATGCCTGAAAATCGCCTGTGTGTGTCTCTTAGCCAGGTTTGGACCATCGTCTTCCTGAAATTTGACAATTTTATTTTATTGTACTATGGATTTTGTTGTACTATGACAATTTTATTTTATTGTACTATGGAGGCTGTGAGCCAAAGGTTTCCCTCCATTCACTGCTGCACAGACACAGGAAGGAATATCATCCCTGCAGGTGGCTCCTGGTGCTTCCCAGCCCCTCCTTAACACCCTGGGAGTCGGGTTCAGAGTGGCACATCCAGACAGTGAATTCTGGAAAGAAAAGAGGGGAAATCCAAATCCAAATCCAGCTGCCAGCATGGAGATGCTTTTGGATCACAGGGCCTCCTGTCTGGTTCAGCTTCAGAAGGGAGCAGGGGACCCACAGGGTTAGGTATGGTCGTGATGCTGTCAGGAGCAGCAGCTCCAGGGGAGACAATGTCCCATGTGCTGGTGGCACTGTCCCATCACCTCCAGGTGACTCCTGCATGGGGACACACCAGCCACCCTCCAGCTGCCAGCTGTGGCTTATCATGGTTCTCCCTCCTCCACCTCTATGTGCAAGTTGCTCCTTGCAGTGCCCCCGGTTCCCCCAGCCACTCCTGCCTTCCTGCCAGAGCAGCCTCTCAGCCCTCCTGCCTGCTCTCCTCCACACCGGCGCTCGATATTCACGGCTGAGAGTTCATCAGAGAGACAGCGCGGCTCAGCCGGCTGGAAAACAAACCCACGATCCCTTTACACCTCCCGTGCCCCTCTGGGCTCACTTGGGGACCCTCCATGGGGAGGGGGGATGCACGGCGAGCAGGCAGCGCGGGGTTCGGGGATGCTGGGACGGTCCCCGGTGCAGGCTGTGTGCGATGAGCGATGTGCGTGCAGCCGTGTGCGTGCCCAGGGAAATTGCCGCTTGTTTGTCACCTCTTCCCCCGTGCCTCGGAGGGTTAGTTGGATAATAGCTGTGGGAAGCCCGCGGGAAGCTGGTTGTTATTCCCCCCAGCCCCTCCGCTTCTCATCATCGCTCGTTAGTGAATGCAGAGCAAATCGCCGCCTCCTCCTCCTCCTCCTCCTCCTCCTCCTCCTCGTCCCCACGGCACTCTCGGGCGCGCTCAGCCGAGTGTGAAGGAGCCGCAGCCGGCGTGGGCTGGGGCTGCTCCCTCAGGCAGGGATGTGTCTGCTGGAGCCGGGGCGTCCCCCAAAGGTGAGGGTTCGGTTCAGAAACTGAATCAAGTGTGCATTGTCTATTGGATTTTCCACCTGCTTTGGAGACGGACTCCTTGCTTATTAATGTACAGCCTCCCAACTTCGCCTTCTTCCCTCTTGCTTGGATGTTCCCAACGAGCTCTGCTTGAGGAAAGCTCCTTTCCAAGCTCAAAGGCTCCCCTGGGCACAGGCAGCAGCCCCAGCAGGCTGGCCATGCTCCATGGCAGTGCCTGGCACGGGGCAGGGAGCACATCCAGCCCAGCTGCCCTCCACTGCCTCCTCTGCAGCATCCCTCAGGAATGTGTCATTAGTTTCAGTGACTGCGGGATGTCTGGAGTCCCTCTTACACTAATTATCCTGCTCCTCTATTAGACATGCTTAATTAGCCAGCGTTCACAGGCAGAGGTCGGTGTTGGCACACCGTGGGCCACACGCTGCCGACCTTTCCCGTGCCCGTGTGTCTGCATCAGCTGCTGTTCCTGCCCTGTCCCCGCCGTGCCTGGGCCATGGGTGAGCCCTGGCAGTCCAATTCCCTTCTGTTGTGGGAAGCAGGGATGCCTTTTCCACCCCAATTTGCTGTGATCCAGCCCAGGACAGTCCCAGCAGCTTGGGCACAAGTGGATGCTTTGGAGCAGCGATATTTGCTGGTGCTGCTCAAGGATGGAGTCTCAGCATCACCAGCAGCGGAGAGCTCACCAATCTCTCCTGGATGCTAAAAGCAGGGAAAGGGAGGTTCCTGCATCCTCCAGCCCCATTTCCCAGCCAGCCTGGAAGATGCCCCAGGAGAAGCAGACTTGCTCCCTGTGCAGTCACAGCTCAAGATGTGTGATTTGTTCTGTATGAGATAAGTCCAGGCTGCAACAACCTTGTGAGGCCAGAGTAGCTGTGATGGGGGAGAGAAAATGGAGCTGCCAAGTGGCTCAGGGTGAGACTGGGTGGCTCAGAATGGGACTGGTCAGTGCAGCAGGCAGCTGGAGGGAGGGAAGGTGGGGTGGAGGGATGCTGTCAGAGGAGCCCCCTCTCCCTGTGGGCATAGCTTGGTACTGTGCACCGCACAGCTCAGCAGGTGCTGGAGGTGGCCAGGGCACACTGGGGTGCTGGGGACTGTGGCCCTGCTTTATCCTGGGTGTCTCTGAGCACAGCAGCACCCCAGGAGCAGCTGTAGCATTCAGAGGCGGCCTTGGACATCTGCAAGGCTGCAGGACCTTGTTGTGACCAGTCAGCTCAGGGCTGAAGGGGGTTGAGAGGGAGAGAAAGGGAGAATCCTTCCTACTCCCCTTCCTACTCCAGGGCACCAGCTGGCTGCTGGCTGCTTTCCTGGGGACTGCTGGTGGGGATGAGTTTGCACCAGCACCAACATCTGGAGGGGATGGCTTTGCACCAGTTCCTACTCTCCTCCAGGATTTCAGCGGCTTCTTCCCCACAGAGAGCTTCCAGCAAATGCCCATCTCTGCCTGGTGAGGTGGGGACCTCGAGGACCCCAGGACATCTCCTGAGCCTGTGCAATGTTCTGCTGGGCTGGGATTTGTGTAGGGGAGGGGATTTGGGTCTCTTGTCTGCAGCAGGAGGGCTGGGAAGTTTAAAGTGTTGGGTCTATGTATGGCAGGACAATCAACTCGATCTCCTATCCCCACCCTCCCTGCCTCAATTACTGGTTCCTCTGATTTCAGAGTGAGCCCAGAGACTCCAGAGGGTGTGAAGCCAAAGTCTGCAGTGTCACCACAATCCTATGCAGCCAACCAGCATCTCCCCCATCCCCATGCATTGATTTCTGCTTTCCTCCTCCCAGGGTTGAGTCCCACTAACCCTGTCCCCTCCCACTCCCCTCAGGTCCGTGGCTGTGACCACTATGGCATCTACCACACCAGCCCCACGCTGGGCAGCCTGGTCAAGCCAGTGGTGCTGTGGACCCAGCAGGATGTGTGCAAATGGCTGAAGAAGCACTGCCCACACAATTATCTCATCTACGTCGAGGCGTTCTCCCACCACGCCATCACAGGTACAGAGTGTCCTCTGGACCATTTGCCATTAGCATGTGTACCTTCTGGGAAAGGCTGTTTGGACATTGGGGGTTCAGAATGTGGACATACTCCCATTTCTGTCCCCTCTCCCCATGAGATGCAGCCATGGTGAGAGCAGGGGACACAGTGACACTGACCCAGGCTGGGCAGGAGGCACCTGCCACCAGGGTGAGCTCCAGGACAGGCTGGAGGTTCTTATTAAATTGGTTTATAAGACAGGGAAGAGTATTCTCATCACCTAGCTTTATATAACAATAGTATTATTAAAGTTTTTTAAATACTGAAAATTTTTGCAGAAGAGAAAAATCTCTGTCCAGTTGGAGTCCAAGTTTCAAAGGTCTTTGTCCAGATCCAAATCCAACTCCCAATCAAGCCCTTCAAGCAGACTCACCTCTAGGATCTGCTCCCTCCCCTTTGCTCCCTGGGGACAGTGGCTTTGACCTCTGTGTAAGAGCATAATTCCAGCCCAACTTCAATATGTGCAAAGCCAGACTGAGCTCTGCCAGGGCCAGGGGACAGTGGCAGGGAAGTGAGGGCAGGAGCTGCCTGGGGGTGATGAGAAATCCTAATGCAAAAGCTCAGCCAGCCCTTGCTCAGGCAACAAAGGCAGCATTAGTGAGTGTGTGCTGTAAAGCAAGGACAAAAGCTGGTTTAAAATCCCTCCTGTAAGAGCCCCAGACTGGAGGGAAGTGGCTCGGTGGGGACTGGAGCACTAATGCATTGTGATGGGCACCCCCATTCATTGCCCCAGGACCAGCAGCCCCGTGTGGGAACCCTGTGCTCAGAAAACATCTCCTCATCTGGGAGGTGGAGCAGAGAATAAAAAGCTGCTGCCTGCGGGGATGGGTTACAGGATTGTGCTGCTGATACCTGGCAGAGGCTGGGGACACAAGCTGCCACCCGGCGCTCTCTGAAAGGGAGGTCACAAACCAGAACAGAAGGGACCTGAAAGCTCATCTCATTCCACACCCTTGCCATGGGCAGGGACACCTTCTGCTAGAACAGGTTTCTCTAAGCCTTCTCCAGCCTGGTCTTGGACACCTCCAGGGATGGGGCAACCACAGCTTCTCGTGGTAGCCTGTGCCAGGGCCTCACCGCCCTCACAGGGATGAATTTCTTCCCAACACCCAGTTTAACCCTATCCCCCGCCAGTCCTTCCCCCTCATCCTGTCCCTCCACGCACTATGCAGGCAGTGAGAGAGCACTCCCTCCTCCTTCCTCCATGCTGATGGGTTCCCCTTTGTGCTGCCCTTTCCTGGGGTCATCCCCCCCTTTTTGGGCTGGTGGAGCACTGAGCCATTCTGTGTCTGCAGGCCGGGCGCTGCTGCGGCTGAACGGGGAGAAGCTGCAGCGCATGGGGATCGCGCTGGAGGCGCAGCGCCAGGAGCTCCTGCAGCAGGTCCTGCAGCTCCAGGTGCGCGAGGAGGTGCGGAACCTGCAGCTGCTCAGCCAAGGTAGGGCAGCCCAGAGCCGGCTGTGGCACACAGGGATGGGTTGTGGGGCTGTTCAGGGAGCACAGGGGGAGTTGGGGTGCGCAGGGCCAGGCTGCCACACGCAGCCCAAAATCCGTCAGTGGCCCTGTGCATGGAAGGGAAGAGATTCTCTGGGGATGGTGGTGGGTGAGCTGCGACGTGCCGCCCTGCAGGCTGTTTATTCCTTCCTCTCCCACCTTGTTCCAGCTTCTTTTGGAAATGTCTCCTAGCTGATCCGTCTGTTTGGCAGATTGCACCAACACTGTGAACCGAGCTCCGCTGGGATGGGCTGTGCATCGCCAATACGAGACCTGAGCCACACGCTTGGAATAAGAAGAGACAGCTTCCCAGACACTCCAGGGCTCCTCTCCTGCTTCTTCCTTCTCTTTCTTTTAAAGGAACACATTCCTGTGCAGGGGTGGAAGGTTTCTTCCAGGAGACATGGCTCTTGGCTGGAGGAAAATCAGCAAACCAACTGCTGGGACAGATGATGAACTTCCATCCACCTGAGCCTGACAGTTCACAGGGAAAGAGATGGAAAAAAGGAGATGGCAAAAGGCAGGGCTCAGCACTGTGGAGAAAGGGAATGCAGTGATTCCAGGGACAGCTCGGAACCATGTGCAGGACACTGAAGCATTATGCACTTGGGCAACATCCCAGCACCCAGCAACTCGTGTCCATGCCTTGGAGCTTATTTAGGGAGCTTTGGTTTCCTCATCAGACTGGGCTGCCTTCCAGCGGCCGGGGAGGTGACGTTATTGGTAGCAAATAAGATGATACAACCAGCCAAAAAATTCACAGCGGGGCCAAGACCCCAGCACCCAGCTCCACTTGGTGAGTTAAAAAGGGAGCTGAGTCATCAGAGCTGGAAAATCTGCAAGTGAAAGCAGGCTGGATGCACCAGGAGGGTGCCATGGCCCGGAGGAAGCTGTGCCAAGAGCTCATCCTTCATCAGCAGGCAGAGGGGGAGCCCGTGCAGGGGCTGGGGGCAACAGGTTGGGGTGCTGCTGGTTGGTTGTGGGGCTGGGGGAACACTGGGGGCCAGGTCCTCCCCAGCTCCCATCCTGGTCCTGCTCTGCTCCATGCTCCCACCAGCTCTCAGAGCTGTGCTCATCCAGGCATTGGCAGGTTCCTGTCCTGACCTCCTGCCAAGGGTTGGTGATGGTGCCACCAAAGCCAAGCACCTTCCTGATGACCTTCACCATCATTACAGTCAAAGTGTTTGCTGTCAGGTCCCCATCTCCCAACTCTCCCATACAGAGCTACAGATTGCCCTTGTGGGCAAATAAGGAAAATCCATGTGTAAATCAGGATTTTGGGCCAGGGTGGATGCTGTCACCTCCCCACATTCCACCTCAAGTGATGAGGGTAGGGCTGTGGGTCATTGGGGTGCAAAAACAGCAGCCCCAAACCCCCTGGGGCACTGGGATGTGGAGGCAGGTCACGGTGCTCCCTGGCTGGGCATCCTCCTGCCTGCTTCTCTGCTGGTAATAAATTAGAGACTGTTATTTTAACTCACTGCTCTTCTGGCTCTTCCCACACCTGAACCTGCCCTGTGAGTCTGGTCTTTCCAGTCCTTCCTGGGGATTCCCAGGAGATGTCTCCAGCCCTAAATCCCTCCATGCCAGGCTGAACATCTTCCCTCTCTGCCTGTGGGTCAGGGGTTTGTGACCCTCAGCTCTGTCTGCAGGGAAGCAGCTCCAGGGCTTTGCTGGGTGTACCCCAGAGCACAGGAATTAGAATTTCCTCCTCATTCCATACTGACCTTTTCTAATATGCAGCAAAATTTGCTCGTCTCACCTCACCGGAGACTCACGAGCAACAGAGCTGGGAGAATTTACTGCGTTTAAAGACAAGGAAAAAGAAGTCAGGAAAAAGCCCATCTTGCCACGGTGGGGTTTGTTTGTGTCCTTGTGGGGCAGTGGGATCTGTGGGGAGGCACGGGGAGCTGTGGGGTGACGAGGGGCCAGAAGCCCAAGGAGCAGAACACTGCAGGTGTGTGCACATCGTTAGAGGGAGACGCTGAGCTTCTCTCCAGAGCTGGGAGCTGCACGGGGGGAAATGCCTTCTCCGGGCTCCAGCTGGGCTCATGCAGTGAGCTGGTGGAGATCTGGCCTGGAATGCAGCTGGGGTGCACAGAACAGTGCTGGGGCTGCCCCAGACCCTCTGGAAAAGGCAGGGTTCCCCCCAGATCCTGCCCCAAAGCCTGGCTGCCCCTTGCTGTGCTCCTGAGGATGCTCTGGCTCTCTCCAGCTCCTCAGCATGGAAGAAAGCAGAAACCCGACCAATTGCACTCGGTTGGAGCCGCAACCATACGGTTCAGGTAGCTTTCTGAGACCTACCAGCACAGAATGAAGGGGAGGAGCAGTGTGAAAAAATGTTCCCAGGGCTGGCAGCATCCCAGGACGATGCTGTCCTGCCCCCAGTCCCCTGCTCTGTGTCTTTGTTCTGATGACAGTGGTGATAGTGAGAGCAGAGCACCTTGGCAGGCTGGCTCTGAACTACTGCTCTGGCAGTGTCTGGTGCCACCTAATGCCCATGGCTTGTCCAAGGGACACCCAGGACTCTGCCCAAGGTAGCAGGGATGCATCCAGGACAGCCCTGACAGGGTTTTGACTTCTGTAGCTCTGGGCATACAGCAAAATGCATCTGCATGGTGGATCCAAGGAAGGACAGTCCTCCTCATGGGTGAGAATTTGGGGTGGTGAGTATTGCACCAGGACCCTGGGAACTGGGGGCAGATGCTGCTCAGAATCCTCTCAGACTGAGGCACAGCTTGGTCACTCCTCATCTTTGGCCGAGCAAGAAAAATACCTTCTATTTGTCCAGCACTTATCTGCCAGTGATATTCCAGGCACTGCCCCAAAACAAACAGGGCCGACAATGAAACACAGATGAATCAATTCATGCAATATTAAAACCAGACAACAATTAAAGTAAACAGAAAACACCAGCAAGCCTCAGTCAGTCCCCTGCAGCAGGCAGGAGGATACAGGCAGCACCACTGGGGCACAGGGGCAGGCAATGGCCACACAACTCCTGGCTCTGATAGATATTTTTTGCCATTTTATTTGGTGGAAAATCTTTTGAATAAGAGAGCCAATGTGTCACCAGCATCAGGAGTTATGTTCAGCATCTTCTTAGAAAGGAACAATCCAGCAACTCCCTCCCAGTGGCAGAGGCAGTTTGCAGATTCCAGCAAGGTTTTCAAGCAGAAAATAAAAAAGCCAGCAGAAATGCCCATAGAAAATGCATGCAAATTTGTCTGAGTAATTACTGAGCTTGATGATGTAAACATCTCCCGCTCTGAAGCGCTGCTGATTGTGGCTGTGATGCAGAGAATTCAACCTTCCCTCCAACCCTGAAATTCACAGTGGGTGCTGAAATTCCCAGCCTGTGCTGAGCAGGGTGGGAGGACACGGAGTGCTGGGCACAGAGGTGACAGTGCCTGCCCCTGGCTCTGCTGAGGTGCAGCTGGTTTAAATTGGAATGCCTGTCCCCAGTGGTTTGCAGGCTCCATCTAATTAGGGCCCTGTCATCCCAGCAGTGCACAGGGAGGATTACAAACCACCCCAAGGCATTGGGGCAGCTTGACATGAGCAACAAGTGCTGGCAGCCCAGTGAGCCGACCCTGCCCTGGGCTGCATCCCCAGCACCATGGCAGCAGGGAGGGGGGTTTGTCCTTCCCTTCTCTGCTCAGGAGGGACCCCACATGCAGCACTGCCTCGAGTTCTGGGGATTCCAACATCAGAAGGTTGTGGAGCTGCTGGAGTGAGTCCAGAGTATGAACCCAAAGGTGCTCCAAGGGCTGGAGCACTGCTGCAATGAACACAGGCTGAGAAATCTGGGGTTGATAAACCTGGAAAAGAGAAGGTGCTGGTGAGATCTTAGAGCCACTTTCAGTGTCTAAATGAGCTGAATTACTTTGAACAAGAGCCTGAAGTGACAGGACAAGGGGGAATGGCTTTAAACCAGCAGAAGACAGGGTTAGGTTGGATATTAGGAAGAAATTCTTCCCTGTCAGAGTGGCGAGGTACTGGCACAGGCTGCCCAGAGTGGCTGTGGCTGCCCCATCCCTGGAAGGGCTGCCTGGGTGCTGCCCCAAGTCAGAGCATCCCAGGGAAGAGTGAAGTGCCAGCGTGTGGCGGGGGCACAGTGAAACAGCCACTCCTGGGCTGCTCCAACAGCCACATCCCAGCTCTGGCACAGCTCCCTCTGCCTCATCCCATAGCCCTGCTCTCCATCCCACTGCCTGGTGCTGGAGGACAGGACAGGGCTTGGGAACACACACATGGAGTCCTGCAGCAATGGCAGCAGAAGTCTTCTGCTCCGGTATGTTCTTGCTGCACATCCAGGACTAATCAATCTTGATTTATTGCTAATGAACTTGAAAACAGTGTTGGGATGGATCAGGTGCCACTCAGGGTGAGATGGATAATATAATTAAGATTTCCTCAAAGGTCCCGTTTTTCTTACCTTGTTAATTAAGCTGATGTTGTGCCCTCCACACAGAATACGTAATGAGTGGCTGCCAAGACAGAGCTGGCTGTTAATGGGAGGTGATGCAGGAGGAAATGCTGGCTTGGCAGGGCTGGAGACATTTGGGCAGCTCTTTGGTGGCTTGGTCCCCCAGAGCAGCCAGGAGCTGATCTCTGCTGAGAACTCAGCACATGCTTTGCACAAGCCCATCTGGAGCCCACAGGGCAGAGTGTGCAGTCACAGGTGGAGGTGGAGATGGATGGGTTAATCCTGTTTGGGATAGGCTAAGCATCATGGCAGAGCACACCAAAGCACAGCCCAGGGTGTGGGACAGGGCATTGCCTGCAGGAATCCAGGAGCAGCCCCAAGCAGCAGCTCTCCCTCAGGGCTGCAGCCTGTGGTGCAGGGAGGAGGGGAAGCTGCTCACTCCCCATGGCCCAGGCACGTTTTTGGTACTTGCACTGGTGGTGACTTATGACAATGAATTAATGGCCTCTTAATAAGGGTGACACTTTCCTTAATTAGAAAGTATCAGAGCAGGGATAATTGCTTCATTTCATTTTGTTCCCCTGTATTACTTCCTTCATTTTTGGTCCTCATTCTCGGCTGCTGGATGCCCTCTGAATGCTCTGCTTCCCCAGAGCCAGAAACACTCCCAGGGACTGTGGGCATGGCACAGAGGCAGGAAAGAGGGAGAGAAGTGGGTGAGGGTATGGCTGTGGGGCTTTCACTGGGACAAGGATGGAGAGGGGTGGGTGCAGATGCAGCTACAGTGCTGCTGCTTCTACCAGGGTGGTCCCAGGTTTGCAGCAGTGCCAGGTGCAGGGTTGGTGGCAGATGGGACCATCTGGCAAAGCTGGAGTAAGGGAGAGGCAGCATCCACAGGCTGGAAGCCACCAGAGAGAAGGCAGCAAGTGTTGGGAGTTGGGCAGCCCAGGGAAGGCAGCAGGGCCGAGATAAAGAATTGATCCAAAACAATTGTCATTTGGGTTGACCAGGGCTGTTCCCCCACCAGGGCTCTTCCCTGGATGCAGTAGGTTTGCTGCAAAGCCAAGCTGAACATCCACAGCATTTCACTTGGGCCTTTTTTGGAAAGGCGGGTTTGGGGTTTGGTTTTGGCACAACATTCCCAAGCAGCACATTTGCACAGGCTGTTACTGGGGCCTCCAGGAAAATCCTTCACACCCCCACAGAAAATTAGCCTCTTCACTTCCCATCAGAGGAGGCACTTTCTAAAACTGGGAAGGATTTGATGAAGCCACATAACTTCATCACCAGCTGCATCCCCACAGCTCCCATTGCCTCTGTGGGGCTGATGGGTTCCCATGGGACATGCCCCCTGTGTCACCACAACCCTGTAAATTATAAAAAGCAGTCTTAGGGCTGCTGGGAGCTTTACAGCTCCAGTTCCTCCTTGAGGCAGGAGCTTTTCCCCCTTAGCCTTCCCTCTGCACTGCAACCATTTTGCTTTGTCGCCATATCTAAAATTGAATCTGTTTGGATTTTCTCTCGCTCCTCTTTTTTTATTTTTTTTCCCTTTTGCTTATATTTGATGAGTGCATTCAAGCACAGGGAGGGGGAGAAAAATAATAAAAAATTCATCAGCATAATTCCTGGCTGTGGGAGTGATGGCAGGCTCGGGTTTCCAATCAGCGGCCCGGGCTGGGAGGAGGCTGGGGCTGCCCCGGATGCTGCAGCACAAACCAGCTGCAAATCCCTCTTTGTTCGGGAATCACTCTCTTTCAGCCTCTGCACAGCCTGTCCCGTGCATGTGTGAGCATGTGGCTGCTCCAAGGGGCTTTGTCCCCCTGCCACTCCAAGGATAAAGGGGGATGCAGCAGCCGGCTGGGATCCTTTATCCCAGGATAAAGCCCTGGGAGACAGGGAATGCAGTCTCCCATCCTGGGTCTGGGCATCAGTCATGGCCTTTCCCTCACCTGTCTCTGTGCCTGGTGCACAAGGCTCAGCAGACGTGGGCTCCCAGTGCTCCCAGTGCTCCCAGTCCTACATATTAAGCATCTCACCATCCCACCAGTGGAGATGCTGGTCCTGCACAGCCCCATATGCTCCAGAGCAGCAAAATGTGGAAGAGGCTCTGCAGACCCAGCACACACTTCATTCTAACAGACTTAAGGGTCTGAAGGGTGCTGCTGCAGCCCCTGGATCAGACACTGGCACAGGCTGCCCAGAGAAGCTGTGGCTCCCCCATCCCTGGAAGTGTTCAAGGTCAGCCTGGACAGGGCTTGGAGCAGCCTGGTGTAGTGGAAGGTGTCTAATTGTGATTCTAAAACGTGCTTTTAAGTTACTTTTTAAAGTGCAAATGCCCCATAAGCCCAGCCCATTCTGGGCAAGAAGCATTGTCACAGTTCCAGATCCAAACATCCCAAGAGGATCTGCATCCAGAAAACCAGATTATTTCCTGCCTTCCCTTAAAGGGTGTTTTTTACATTTGTGGAGTTTTAAACTCTTGGCTAGGTGGGATACAAGCCAGAAGTGATCCTGGTAGGGGATACCCAAATTGCTGCAGGTTTGGGTGGAGGTCACTGTGCTGGCTGCATCCTGGCAGGCACAGGACAGCTCCAGGGAGATCTGCTCAGCACCAGCACGAGAGGCTGGAGAAGCAATGGCAGGACTGCATGGAGGGTGGCAGCACCTCGCTGATTCAGGCTATGTAATTGTTTTTTCCCTCATCACCTCTTCCTGGGGTCTGTATCAATTTAATTTACATGCTCAATGGCTTGGGCTGTTTCATCCCTGCTGCCAAGCACCTTCTCCAGCATCTACAGCTGCAGCCTGTGCCTGGCTGCTGCTGCTTGGCCTCCTCTTGCCTCGGGTGGTGGGAACAGTGGGAGCAGTGGGAGCAATGACCAGGGGGCCAGAGCACTGGGGAATCACCACATGGCCCCCTCCACAGCATCGTTCTGGTTTGCAAAGATGAGCTCTGATCCACAACCCACCTCTGCAGCAAAGCCACAGTGCAAGAGGGGATGTGATGGTTTCCTGTGAGCACATGGAGGAAGGCAGCACCACTGCCCCTGTTGCTCTTCCTCCTCCTCCTGCCTTTCCCAGCACAGCTCTGCCTGTGAAACAAAGCCCTCCTCAGCATCTGCTTAACATTTGCTGCTCTTTTCAAGTCCATCCCTTGGCCTGCTCTGCTCAGCAGAGCCTGAAAATAACAACAGTGGGTACCTTTCTATTGCATAATTTCAGGGGTTTGTTCCTCACCCAGCCTGTAGCTGCCTGCTCCCCCTGCCCCTGTCTAACCCAGCATGGCCAAACTCCCTCTCTCCCCCCACCCTCATCCCCTCCTGGAGATGCAAAACTGCCCTTTGTGGGTGCAGAAAATGGACATGGTGGCACCTTTGCACACATGGAACAGCTGCCAGGATGAGCAAAGGGCAACGTTTACAGCGAGGAGGGGACCTCGAAGGTGCTGAAGGCGCTGCCTGGTCTCAGCGAGCACGTGGAGCTGCCCGAGAGCCACCCCAGCTCTCCTGGAGGCAGCTGCCTGCCTGGGAAGCCAGTCCGCCTCGGATATGCCTCATTTTATAAAAAGAAGGTGGGCTGTGCCCGTCCCTCCCACCCTGCTGAGCACCCTCCGCTCCACCGATAATCATACCTAGCAATTACACCGAGCTTTCCCTGCTCTCTGCAGACGTTAATTAAGCTCTTTTCCCCGCAATGGAGACAAAGAGGGGAAAACCGCGGGGAAACTCCCGGCTTGGGTTGGGCTTTTTTTTTTGCACGACTGTGCCACAGGGCCTCCCAGCGCCCGGCAGGATCACGCACTGGCAATGGCAGGCAGGGTGGCCCTGACAGCGATGGCTGCTCTGGGTTCCGCTCTCACCTGGCAAAATGAATGTAGTTTTCCCTAATTTCTGGGCTACTGCTGGATCCCGGTGTGGCTATGCATTCCTGCCGCCGGTAATCAAGGCTGGCTGTGCCCTGCAGCCCCTCCCCAGGTGCCACAGGCTCTGCAGGGGTGACATCCCATGCCTGGAGGCTGGGAAATTGCCCATGGACATTGCAACAGGCTCGCACGCAGCATCATTCCCAGGGGCTGGGGTGGCTTTACAAGGGGTAAACCTTGGAACACCCTGGGTTTAGATGTGTTGATGGATGGGGAGGGCACCCTACCCGCACCTTTGCAGGCAGGATGATGAACAGGACACCCTGGAGAGAACAATGGCATACAGGACACGGCCAACACCTTGGGAGGTAGGAAGATGGGCAGGACACCCTGGAGGAAAGGATAACGAGCAGGGCACCTTGCCGGGCAGAATGACAGACAGGTCATCTTGTCGGCATCTTAGAGAAGAGGATAAAGGGAAAGGCGTCCTGCCTACGACTCTGGAGGGCAGGACTGCAGGGGAAGATGACAGGCAGGACACTCAGCGCCTGCACCCTGGAGGGCAGGACAGGACGGCGGGCAGGACACGCTGCCCGCACGCCGGGGTGTGACAGAGGCCAAACAGCCCGGAGGTGGGGAGGGCAGCTCGGCACCCTGGCCGCATCCCGCATCCCGGGGAGGCAGCGCAGCGCAGCCCTGCCCGCACCGGGCTCCGGCCGCACCTGCCCAGGTCAGCCCGGTGCGGGGGGCGCTGCCCCGTCCCGCCCTCCCGGGGCGGCGCCCCCGCCCGTCCTCCCGGTGCCGATCCCGGTGCCGGTCCCGGAACCAGGCGAGGCCGGAGCGGCCCGGTGGCGGCGGTGAGGGGCGCGGGGCGGGCCGGGCCGGGCCGGGCGGGGCGGGGAGCGCGCATGAGCCGCGGCGGCGGCGGCGGCGGCGGCGGCGGCGAGGGGCGGGCGGGAGCGCGGCAGCGGAGCGCGGCGCCGCCGCGGGTGTGGGCGCGCCGGGAGCCCCGCACGGCGGCCCGGGGGCGGCGGGCGGCACCGCCTGGCCGGCCGGGGGGTGCCGGCCCTGCGCGCCCCGCACCGCGGCCCGGCCCGCCGAGGTAAGCACCGAGCGGCCCCCGGCCCGCCCGGCCCCGCGGCGGGGGACCCCCGCGCCCCGCTCCGCTCCGCTCCGCCCGCCGCCGCGTCGCCATTTTGCCGCTCGCTCTTCCCCTCCCGGAGCGCGGCCGGGCCGGGCCGGGCCCTCCGTCCCCTCGCTGCCGGGCCCGGCCCGCGGGGAAGCCCCGGCCGCCTCCCGGGGATGGGGCGCGGGCCCGCGGGGTGACAGGCCCGGGCGGCGCTGCCCGCGGGGTGACAGCGGGGAGGGGCAGCGAGGGGACGCGGGCGGCTCGGCCGGGCCGGGAGGTGACAGGACAGAGGTTCCCCTGCCGGGAGGTGACAGCGGCAGCGGGCAGGGCAGAGCTCCCCGCGCCCAGGAGGTGACAGCGGCAGCGGGCAGAGCTCCCCGCACCCGCTGACCCCCGGGACAGGGGGCACCCCAGTGCCCGCGGCTCGGTGCGGGCTCATTGTCTGCCAGGCATGTGCGGACGCTTCTCCCTTCTTCATGTCAGTGCCCGGGGACGGAGAGGGGAGGGACGGGATAACGCGCCTCGAACAGAAACTTTACACCCTCAAAAGCCTCGTCTGCGCCTGGCCAGAGCCATGTGCGGCAGGAGCGGGGTGTGCGTGCCTCGGGTGAGGCTCTCCCTCGGTGGGTGTCACTCGGTTTGGGTGACAGCGGCGGGATGCGCCGTGTCCCTCCGGGGCTGCCCGGCTGCCTGCCGTACCTAGGGATGCAGCGGCTCGCAGGGCTTCACCTGCCACGTGCTTCCCTCCCGGGGAAACCTCCAGCGAGGGCGATTCTTCAAAAGGAAGCCTCTCCCTCCGCTGCCTTGTCTTTATTCCCTGCAAGTTTTTCCCAGCATCTCCGGTTCTGCCAGGAGTTCATGGGAGGGAGCACAGCTTCTCTGACAGCGACAGGGATGGCAGTGCCCTTTGGCATCCATCATCTGTGCTGGCATACGGCTTGTCCTGGGACATGCAGCTCCCTTGGCTTTTGCTGTTCGGTGCCTCTGTTGGTAAATTATTGATGATAGGTGGAGAAGATTGACAGGTGACCAGGCAGTTGTCACGCAGCAAAGTCCATCCATAGGGATGGGACTGAGGTGGGAATCCCGGCAGGAAAACTTGTGGTCATGGCCAGCAGGTGACTTTCTGCTGGTAAGGACGTTGCAGCCATCCCTGGCTGCATACATGCTCCTTCAGGCCTTATCCAAATTAATGAGCATGCATTTCTGCATAGAATTATTTCCCCTTTCCCATTCTATGCCAAATTTCCTGCTGCACAGTGCTGCCAGTGGCTTGGGAACAGCCACTGACTTTCATTCCCAAATGTCACTTTCCCCTTGCCGCAGCCATGGGTTGCCTCCTTACCCTTGCTCCCAGCAATACCAGCTTGGCCTTCACTGATCACGTTTCAGCGCCTGCATTCACAGGAGCTTTATTCCCTGGAGCTGGAGTGAGATGTTTCAAAAATGTTGCCACAAAGTTCTAAAAAGTTACCTGGAAAGAGCTGGAGACCTCATAAGATGTTCCCCGGCCCAGCCTTCCCACACCACATCCCACCCCTGGCTCATGACCAGAACCTGTGGATGCCTTCTCTTCCCATTACCAGTTGCAAAAGAGTTTTCAACAAAACCTTAAGGAAAGTGTGGAAGAGCACACACTGCGTATTTTCAGTGTGTGTTACTCAAAAATGAGTGAGAAGTTTGAACATTACCAGAAACCCCCACAATGGGCTGATTTTTGCTCTGTGGCTCCTGGACAATTCCTCTGTGATCCCTGGGGTTGTTTCAGTGGCTGGGGAGCAGATTTTGGCTCTTGGTGACAGGTTTATGAGATTTTTATTTTTTCATTTGGTTAAAAAATAATGGGAAAAATGCAAAGGAGTATTTGGTGTGGAAAAACAGAAGATTCAGAACCTCTTAAGCTGGGCTGAGAGGATTCCTTTGAGGGGACAGATGTGTTCAGGGGGATGAGAGGTGTCCAGCTGCTGGAGCAGGGCTGAGCTGGGCACTTTGGATGTTTTGGGAAGGAAGAGTTGGGAGGATGCTCACTGGTGTGCCGTGTCATGAGGTGCAGGAGGAGAGCACCAGAGATGTCAACAGGGTCTGTCCTGGCTGTCACTCTTTGCGTGTCACCTCGAGCTGGCCAGCGAGGTAGGCAGGGAGGTTCTGTGCTCCGTCCCTCATGGCATTTTGGCACTAGCCCTGGCTGGAAAGAGGTGTCAGTTGTGTGGATTTCCCCTCGGTTTTCACCCCATTGTAAGCACAGAAATCTTGTCTTCAGCTTTCACTTCACTGGTTTTTCGTGAGTCTTTTTTTCCTCTTTTTCTTTTGAGCAGCTTGGGTGAGGGTTGCTCAGAGGTGCCAGGACCCAGCATGGGAAGGAAGGGGACTGGCACTTTTGTCCCTGGAGGACTGGGGACAGCAGCAGTGCCCACACTGGTGGGAGTGGAGCAGCAATTTGGGAAGGAACCACAGGGACCCCTCTCTGTGCCTGCTCCAGAAAGGAGCTGCTGTCAGGCAGGCTACAAACTCCTACCCAGCTCTCCCACCAAAAGAGCCCAAATTAGTTGAATCAGCGATCCCCATGTTCAGCACCAAATGCCACAGAACCAGTTGCCAAGCTGGAATTTCTCACTTGATCCGATTAACCTTTGTGCCCATGCAAACAACCACATATGTGTCACCAGCCAAGCACATGCTGGAAGCTTTTGCCAGCTCTTGGAGCATGTGGGCTGCATCCCACATGGAAAGTCCCTGATCCTACATGGAAAGTCCCTGGGGACACCTCAGAAAGAACTGCTGGACCCTCCTGTCCCATATGTTGGTGGCATGGCTGGCAATCTGGCCACACAGGGGATGCTCCTTCATCCTCTGGGCATGAGGACAGACAGGATGAGTGTAGATGCTTTTTGGAATCAGCTCCTTTGAGTTGAATGATGCTAAACATGTGGGAGGAATTGCAGGTGATGAGTCAAATCCGTGTTTTAAAAAACGCATGGATGAACATCAGCATCCCGTCCCAGCCAAGATCTCAAGGCCATGGTGGTCCAAGGAATCTCTTCCCAAGGGCCTCATGTTCTCATTGTGGAGCATGGAGGACTTCTTTTCCCCAAATTCATATATGGATCTCCATATCCATCTCCCAGAGCAGCCCCCATCCTCAGATGTGCCTTTGCTTGTGCTGTCAGGAGGGGAAGAAGGAACTTGAAGCCGGAGGCAGAGCCAGTCATGCCGTGGGCTTCCTCTTGGCACTGCTGAATGGACTCCATCAGGAGTGAGAGTGGGCCTTGTGCGATAATTCCTGACGTTCATTATTTATAGAGAAGCCAAATTGAATTATTAATACGAAAAATTCAGATAACATTAACAATTCTCAGTTTATAACAGTTTGCCATTAATAAGGAAAATTGGAAATTTATCATTACATCTGTTCATTAAAACTCACTAATTTTTTTTTTTTTTTTTGCTTTTGGTGTCTTAAATGAAAGCGGAGAAATAAACGAAGAGGAAAAGCCATTTATTCACTCCTTCTCTGGGCAAAGTCAGCCCATAATTTTTAATAAAGTCTTTGCCATTGTGTGTGAAGGGGAAGCCAGGCTGTAATGAAAGCAGCTTTCCAGCCATGTCTGTGGCGTTCCTCAACTGTAGAACAAATACTCGGAAGCACGTCCCGTTTCTTCTCTTTGTGGGAATCTTGAAGCTGCGTGATGGTTTTCTCATTTCCCTCCCTCCCTCCCCAGCAGCTCTCCTTGCTTTCACCATGTGTTGTTCCCAGCTCCGAGGAGTGAATTTTAACGCCTCCCCTGCTTCTTTCAGAGATGGCGGATTCCTATACCTGTAAAGGTGGAAGGAAAACTGCAGGCTCTAACAAACCCACTGCCAGCAAAGAAAGCAGGACAGAGACGAGGATAAACCCACCGGCAGAGCTGCCCAAGCTGGGTAAGGAGCTGATTTGTCCTTTCAGTGGAGGTGGATGGGGCAGAGAGGATGAGCCCAGAGGCAGGAGCTGAGGAGTGGCTGCCAAAACAAGTGGCCTGGGTCTCGATGTGTCTGCTCCTCACTTTGGCTCACCAGTGAGGGCTGTGCTGGCCAAAAAGCCCCAGCTCTGAGAGCTGGTTGCTGGGAGCAGGAGGGGAGGGATGGAGATGGTCTCTCCCTTCGGAGAGGCGTGTGTCTGGCTTAACGAGATGGGTGTCTCGCCGCCCATTTATCGTGTTGGTAGCTAAGTGCTACATCAAAGGATGGAAAGGCTTAAATGAGTTCAGGCCATCTGCTGCCTCCCGTGTCGCGGCCCCCGGGATGGAGGCTTGCTGGCGTACAAGCCCCAGGGGACCCTCACACTAAGGGCTGTCACGCTGATGGATGGCTGATTTCTCTATCCAGGAATCTCCAGGCCCAAGGAGATTTTTCCTCCTGTCTCTTTATGCTGGGCAGATCCCCTCTATGAGAGTGGGTCCCACTGCCTTTACCTTGGTACCTGCACCCCTGGGGAGGGTTGGACCCCAGCGATGCAGCTCAGATGGGGCTTCCAAAATCAGTGGCTTTGTGGGGAAATGCGTGTGCCCTAAATGTTTCCCAGATGCCACTGTTACCTTGAGGGGATTAAAGTCATAATTGCAAACAGAGGAGGATAAGTTATTGCTAAAGGGAATGAACTCCAGCTGTCCGCAATACGAACACGCCTGTGTTCAGGAGACTGTTTTTCCCTGTGTCACATCTTGTCAGCACCTCATTTGCAGGGGAGCTGGCATTGCCTTCCAGAGGGGCATCTCCAGCCTTGCTAGGACAGAGAATGGCCAGCCTAGAGCTGAGGGCACAAGGCAGGCAGCAGGAAGCAGGAGGCTGGAGCTGGGCAGCAGAATTACTGGGACAGCGGTTCCTCTGGCACAGCTGGTGATTGTGCTGTGTCTGTTTGCAGGAAATGCAACCAGTGACAAAACTGAAGGCAGGAAGAAAGGAAGACCCAAGGCTGAGAACCAGGCGCTGAAAGACATCCCTGTAAGACCTCACACACTCCAGTCCCTGAGCCCTCCCTGCCTCACTCTGTCTGACATGCCCTGCACTGTACCCTCCTGCCAGTCCTATTTCTAGGTCTGTTAAACCTTGCTTCCCTGTGATTTAATCTTCCGAGCAGCCTTGTCTTGGACTGAGCAAGATCTTGGTCCCTCAACCTCTACATGCAGGCATCCATTACTTTCCAAAACCCTGGTACCCCTTTCCAGCCTCACTTTCCCAGGGCCATGTCCAGATGACTGGATCCTGTCACAGCCATGTCAGGCTTTGCTAATGAGCCAGCAGCAATGGCAAGGGGGTGATTTATTCCCTGCAGAGTTGTGCAGTTTAATTCCTGCCTGGTAGCATGGACAACACATGGAGCAGTTTGTCATGAGAGCAGGGGCATAGGGTGATTTACGGGCTAGATGAAATGTGGGGTGATTAAATCAGCCAGGCGACTTCAGGCCTGATTTATTCCCCAGCCTGGTAGGGAGTGTGTGTGTGCTCTGGGAAGCACGGCAAGGTAAAGCCTCAGCAGGAATCATTAGCCTGTGGAGCCTGCAGCATCTGTCCCAGCAGCTCTCACTGGAGTGAGCACTGATACACTGAAACACAGCCCTGGGGTCCCCTTTATGACCGGTGGTGGAAGGTGGAAAGGATGGATGGGAATGATCAGAGGTCCCATGTGCTCTCCCAGCTCCCTTGGGATGCATCAGCACACACCCAGGCACAGGGTGCTCTTCACTCAGCTAGCTCTTGTTTCTCCTGTCCCCAGCTTCCCCTGATGAACCAGTGGAAGGACGAATTCAAAGCCCACTCCAGGGTGAAATGTCCCAATTCAGGCTGCTGGCTGGAGTTCCCCAGCATTTATGGCTTGAAGTACCACTATCAGCGCTGCCAGGGGGTAAGGAGACTGCAGAACTGTCTGTCCTTTCCAGTGGCTGGCTCTTCCATTACCATCTGCAGGGTGAAGCTGCTCTCAGGCCTTAAACACCAGGAAAAACATGAGGTTAAAATGAGGAAATGGGGAGGGCAGAGGTGGGCCAGGAGCAGTTTGTGAGGTGAGTGTGTGGGAGGGACTGAGATCTCTGCAGCTCAATGTGAGGTCTGGCCCAGGGGGATCATGGACTCTGGGTAATCGTTTGGAAGGGCAGAAGGGTATTACACAATATTTATGTTCATGCCTGTGTCAGAAAAAGCCTCTCTTTAGTGATCTAACATCTGTGCTCACCTGCCTCTCCCTGCTCCTCTCAGGGTGCAATCTCAGAGAAGCTGACATACTCATGCTCATACTGCGAAGCTGCCTTCACCTCCAAAACCCAGCTGGAAAAGCATCGGCTCTGGAATCACTTGGACCGGCCAGTGCCAACCAGCAAAGCAGAAAACAAAGTGCCCAAGGCCATTGGGAAGAGCAGTGGAAAGAAAAGGTACCAGGCTGTGGCTGGGCTGCATGGCAGTGGCACAGGGATGGTTGGGAGAAGGGGAACATGCCTGCCTCCATTCCTACAACCTGGGCTGGCGAGGGGGGAGAGGTGTCAGGACACTTGTCTAACAAGCCCTCTTTAAACAAGCCCTCTGTGCTTTGCCCTAGACCTGCTGAGAGTTCAGCTTGCCCCACCATCCATCCCAAACAGGCAAAGACGGAAAAAGCCGTGGCCCAGGAGCACGCGGAGAACGGCGAGTGCCTGGCGGAGAGCCGGGAGAGCAAGGAGTTCCAGATTGCAGCAGCTGAGGCCATGGCAGCTGCCACCCCCACGGCCAAATCCTCCAGTGGCAAGGATGTCGGGCAGCAGCGGGGCAGCCAGGCCTCCCTGCAGGAGGAAGACCCCGAGAGGATGAAGCACAGTAAGATTAGAGCCCAGGGCTACGCTGGTTCAGAAGGTGTCCCATGGGAAGGGGATCTGCTGCAGCCAACACTGCTGAGAGTGTCTCTGATTCCAAGGGGTGGCCAAGCCTTGTTTCCAGACCTTGATAACTTGCCCTGCTCTCCAGTTTCTTGCAGCTTCACTGGGAGTTAAAACCCCATTGTAGCTGTGGTGGAAATATTTCTAAAGGACCTGTGTGATGGTTGGATTCAATGATCTTAGAGATCTTTCCAACCTTAACGATCCTATGATAGGATTGGAAATGGGTTGAATTCCTGGTAGCGCAGCAAGCTGCTGTGTCAGCCTGTCTGTCCTCTCTGAGTGTTTGAGGTTAAACCAGGATGGTTCTGGCAAACCCATCTTCCTGAAGGATTGGGACAGGGTGAGGAGTCTCCATCTCTCCATGGCCACTGCTGAGCTGCTCTAGGGCAGTGGTTGTCCCCACTATGGTTTCCACTGCTTGCAACACCAAAGCAAACCACCACAGCCACATAGCCACATGTGGGAGCTGCTTAGCTTTTGCACTAGACAGAGCCACCACTTTCACTCATCGAATCCTGAATAACAGATTTATCCTGGTTTTGTGGAGTGGGAAGCAGCAGTCTGTTGGTGTTTAGTGGGTGGATGCTTCATCTGACAGCCTTTGACCCACTCCTAACATGGAGTGTGTGCCCACCCCATGCCCCAGGACTGGTGAATCCCCATGGCAGTACAGTTATTTGACCAAATCTCTCTCTCTGTTTCTCTCTTTTGAGTCAGGAAGGAAACAGAAAACTCCTAAGAAGTTTACAGGGGAGCAGCCATCCATCTCGGGGACATTTGGACTGAAAGGTAATGCAGGACAGCTCTGGGCAGCTGTAGGTTGTACCTTCTCCCTGAGGCATTGCAGGGAAGTCCCTTCTCCAAGGGAGGGGCTACTTGTGATGGAGCCAAAGCCTGAGGATCTCATACTGGAGGAGCTGGCACCTTTTACCATGAGAAAGCCATGAAGGGTGTGATGGTGGTCACAAGGGTTTTCAGGATGAGAGAGAGACGAGAATGTTGATTCTATGATCAGAAGGCTTGATTTATTACTTTGTGATATATATATTACATTATGACTATGCTAAAAAGAAATAGAAGGAAAAGTTCTTTGAAGACTAGCTAAGCTAAGAATAGAAAAGAAAGAATGAATAACAAAGATCTGTCTCTCGGCAGAGAGCGAGAGCAGCTCCGCCGTGAGTGGTTAGTAAAATCTAAACATCTACAAGAGACTAATCACGGATCTACCTGTTGCATTCCACCACAGCAGATAACCCTTGTTTACACTTTGTTGCTGAAACTTCTCAGCTTCAGCAGGAAAAATCCTAATGAAAGGATTTTAATGAAAAGATGTCTGCGACAAAGGGAGTGAAAAGCAGCAGCATAGCTGGGACTGATTAACCCTGTCTGCTCTGCTCTAGAGCTTGGCACTGGGAAATGAGGGGACAGAGGAAAGGATCTGGGTATGTTCATGTGTAACACAAGAGTAACGAGCTGCTGACACCAGTGAGATATGAGAAATCATCTCACCAGCATCCCACCATGCTGCGTGCCGCAGCGCTTCCAGCGGCGTCGGAAGGAACTCTGCTGCGTAGAGCGGCTCGTGACGCACCCATCCCTCAGCCTCCATCTCCTGGGCTGGTCGCCCACGTTCAGGAGAATGAATCCAAGGCAGAGGAGACATGTTGCCGGGATGTTTGCTGAGAGGAGGCCCAGGAATTGGCTGCTGCAGCCTGACAAAGCAAGAGCAAGTGGGACTTTGGTCATGCTCCATAAATACACCCAAATGGGCTCGGGGAGGAGGGGGAAATCCTGGAGCATCCCTGGAATGAGAGCAACTGGATTCAGGCTGACTATGAGATATGTTCAGCCAGAGAAATAGGAAGCAGATTTCCAGGCACTGCAGGAGGCAGCACCTTCCAGTATGAGGCACTCGGGGGAGAGGCACTAATGGCTTTGAAGGAATTGAACACTGACAAGCAGGCTGGATGTGGTCTCTGTGATTTCCTTTCCTCTGGCTCCTGGGAAGTCTGGGCTTGTTTCCCTTACCCTCCCCACAGAGGCGCTGCTGGAGACTGAACCATCTGCTGTGGGTTCCTGGAGAACAAGGTGTCCCCATGATGCCTCAGATGGGAGGTGAAGATGGGGCAGGGGTCTGCCTGTGCTCCCCAAGCTCCATGTGGCAGTCACTGCCCAAAGACAAGGGTGCCCCAGCACGTCATGGGGTGCTGTCTCCATTCAGACCCTGGGTTTGCAAGAGTCACAGACCCCAGGTTTAGGGGGATGTGGATCTGACCCTGGTAGTCACCTCATTGCCTCCAGCACCTTGTGTGGAAGCTCAGGCACGGGGCCAAGCTGCACATGGATTTGGGGATTCAGAGGAGTTAAACAGCCTTTCCAGTGCAGGAACATCAGCAGGAACATCCCTTTTGCACATTGAACTTGCTGTTTCAATTCCCTCCTTCAGTTTCTTGCAAAACACCCTATTCCCTTCACCCCAGCCTGTCTGCCTGGCTGGAGGGATCCTCCCTCACTTTGCCACGGAGTTTCCATAGTTCATAAACATGTGCTGGGAAAAATGATGCTGTTTGTAAAACACCACAAGCTGTTAGAATATTGCTTGTCATAATTATGGACCTGAGCCTACATGTACAGCCTTGGCAGACATGCAGCCAGCTCAGTGTCCCTGGCTTAGAGGGAGAGATTTTTTTACCTGTTAAATGTGAATTGCTCTGAAGGCATTAAAGCAAGTAGTGAATAAAAATCCTCTTTCTTTACAGGTCTTGTCAAAGCAGAGGACAAAGCAAAAGCTCATCGAGCCAAGAAGCTGGAGGGAAATGCCAACATGGAGGAGCTGAAAAAGAAACCTCCAGGAGTTGGTGTGAAGAAGGAAACACCTGTGCATCCACCAGCAGGTGAGGGTGGTGGGGGCAAAGCACAGGCAGCAGCTCTGTGTGCAGTTTAGCTCCTTTTCTGTGCACTGCCCCAAGCCTAGCTTCATGCCTCCATCCCCACCTTCATCTGCAGCTTGTGGTCTCCACACCCTCTTGGCCCAGCGGGTTGTTTGCTGGGTGAGTTTTCTAGCAGGTTTGTCAGGAGAACCAGCACAAAGTCAGAGGTAGGAGCACACAGCTCCTGCCCTTTTGAGCTGTAACAAAGATGAGGAAACAGCCACTGCTGTTAAAATATTGGTGCCGCCACAACTGACATCCTGAGGAGCACCTTACCTTCAGTTCACTGCCAGGTCAATGTGATGAAAGTGCTGGGAGTTGAGAGCCAAGTTCCACCTGGCTTCACTGTAAGTCAGCATGTGACCCATGTGATGATGGCATTTTTCTAACATCATTCCCATGAATGACACCAGTGCATGACTGTGAGCATAATTATTCCTTCCCTGGGCCTCGAGGTGCAGCCTACACCCAGCACAGGTTGCTTGCTTTCCCTGAGAGCTCTGACAGCAGGAGGAACGCAGGATGTGCAAGATAAACACAGCTGCAGTGCCTTGCACTGCTTTCAAATTCAAATAAACGACTCTCTGATCTCACAGCCATGCAAGAGCATCCAAATAAACAGACTTGGCGGATTTTATTCAGCCCAGGCTTCCCTTGCTGGAAGGCCAGCGCTGCTCTGCTGAGAACACAGTGTGAACTCTGGCCCTGGGAGCTGCTTTTGGCCCCACATATCTCTTATTTTGGGTTTTTTTAGGACCAGTCACAGCCATTCAAATAAACAGATGCCTGGAAGCCAGCAGTCCCCAGCTTCCTCCGTGTCTGTCAGAAGAGGATTGCCAGGGAAGCTTTCCAGGCACACGTCCGGATGGAGCTGAGACGCTCACCTTTGTTTCACTCCCGCTAATTGTTTCACTTGGCAGGGGGAAGTTATTCCAAGCAGAGCAGGATCAGGTGGCTGGGGGCATCATCATCTTTTTATAACTCCCAGTGTGCAAGATAGCAGAGTGGTTGGAAGGACCTAGGTCTTTCCCCAGATCACCAGGTCTGGTAACTCCACGTAAAATTGACCCAGTGACCCAGTTTACTTGGGCAGCTGCAGGAGAGTGGGAGAGGGAGAGCTGTATGGTTCATGTCCAGTTTTGGCTTTGCCTGGGAGAGCCTATCTCTTTTTTTAATATCAGGAACTTTCCCACTTCACTGCTTTTCAACTTATCAAATCAAGCAGCTGAGGCAGGTTGGATGTAACACCTCTTTCTCTCCCTCATCAGCAAACCCCGAGGACCAGTGGCAGCGCGAGATCAGCGAGAAGGGGGAAGTTTGCTGTCCAACCTGCAGTGTTATAACCAGGAAAACTATTGTGGGACTCAAAAAACACATGGATGTCTGCCAGAAAGTAAGGCCTTGCTTTATTCAGTCAAACACATGGATTTTGGGGAGAATTGATGTGTATATGTGCTTCTCATAAATGTGCAGTGATGCTCCTAAAACCTTTCTCAGCTGTGTTTGATAGAACACTTGGTCATCTTCACCTTGCTGGCTGGCTTGCATTGACCCAGAGGGATTTGGACACTAATTCTCAGCAATTCTGAATCCCTTTGCCCCAGTGTCTCAACAGAGTCAGTTATTTCTAGTAGCTAAACAAATAGTTTTAAGGCTGGAGAGATTGTTGGGGCTGTCTCTAATCTGGCCTCCTCTGGAGCCCTGGCTGTGGGGTTTCATTGTGTGCAGTGCCTTGTATCAGACCAGATAAACTGGTTGCATGAGAGCGTGTCTCAGGGAGACTCTGAGCCTGGATGTGCTCAGGCAGGCTGTCAGGAGGCAGGAGTTCAGTAATGGTGCAGTGAAAAATTGTCTCTGTGCCACTCCACCATCCATCAGAGCACAGGATTGCATCTTCATCCGTCACCTGGCGGAGCCGTCGCCACAGAAAGCCAACGTGGGATCGATGCCTCCTGCTTTGAAAATATGTGGCTGGGCTTTGATTCCACATTCATTTGCTGTGAATGCTTCCCCAGCCATTGCCTTGCTGTTGATACAGCAGTGGGAGGCTGCTCTCCCTCCCAAACCCTACAGCAGTCCTACAGAATCCTGCCGCCTCCAGTATCCTCCTGGCCTCAGTGGAGTGGGGATCCTGGCCATCACTGGTCATATTTCCTCCACTTTGGAGCATCTCCCAGGCCAGGCTGGCTGTGTGCAGGCTGCACAGCCAGATGACCTGCTGAGCAGGGCTCTGCTGGAGCAGTCAGCGGTGTCTTCCCTGCTGGAAATATGCCAGCCCTATATTCAGCTGAAGATTTCGGGCTCCAGCCCTTGGAGTGGGTGTTCTGTCACACTTCCTGAGAGGGAGAGTCCTTGCCAGAGCTGGCTGTGCTGCTCTGGGAGCTGGGATGCTTCATGGAAACCAGACAGGACAGTCCCCAAGCTCCAGGTGTGTGACCAGAAGTCCAGCTCTCAGCATTCCATCTCTGAGATGAACCTGTGGCACAACCTTAGTGAGACCCTGCTGCTACAGCCACGTGGGATGCCTGTCAGAGCCAGCCTGGGGTTGAGGCACCCCCTCTTTTTAATGACTGATATATTCCTTAGCTGGACAATGGGAAAAGGATGTGCAGGCTCCCAAAACTCTTATTAAGAAAAAGGAGCAGTCTGCACTAAGCAGTCTGCTTAGGGACTTGTCTCCTTTGGTTTTGGAAAAGAAATAAGGGATGGAGAGGGTTGCAACGTGCTTGGGCCTGAAGGAGGCAAGGGCAGTTATATACTCCTGGTATCCCAGGTGGGAGGGCTTGTTAGAATGTGGACATGGTATGTTTTTAAGTGGTGACCAGAGGAGTAAATCCCAGGTTAGCTGCTAGTGGCATATAATGGGTCAAAGAGCTGTTAGCATCCACCTTGTTGGGATGAAGTGCTTGGGTCTGGGACAAGATTAACTGATGGGAGTGCAGGTACCATGAGTCACTCCCAATTGACTGCAGTGAGTCTATTCTTCATTTTCCCAGAGTTCCATAATGAGGAGAGATTTGCAGATCCATCTTCATTGCCTCTTCAGCTTTTAGTTCAGTCTTGCTTCACCTTCACCACTGTCCCTTCAATCATCTGACAGGAGAAGCAGGAATGACCACGGCTGGCCAGGCACTGGCTCCCTGTTGAGATACTCTGTCTCCTGGTGCCCAGAGCATGAATCTCCTGAACCAGTAAATTCTGGTCCCTGCCTCAGTAAAAGCCAAGATCTGTTCACCCACTGTGCAAGTGCCCCTTGTACCTCGGGGTGTGCAGTTAATGCATCTCCCCACACACTCAGGAGGTCGAGTTGGGTCAAACAGCAGGGCAATGAGAGGAGAAAATATCCTCCTGTGATTGTGTCCTTAATTTCACACAGCCCAGGCACCCAGAAATTGCACTGTATGCCAGGATCTGTCTTACTTAACAGGACTGCAGAGCACAGTCCACTGGCATTGGTAGATCAAAGCTTCTTCTCTCTCTAACCCTTTAACAGGAAGAGTAAGACGCCAGATCCAGATGTTTTCAGCCAGTGAGGCTTTAAATCTAAATCCAAAATGGAATGTTTTCCAAAAACTGGGGCATGTGGGTTTGATAACAGTATCCAGGACAACAGAGAGAAAGCTCTGAGCTGCAGACAGGGCCTGGGATGGAAAACAGGGGTGCTGTGTTGCCTGCTGGGTCCCACCACTGGGGTACAGCTCCAGCAACAGCCACCCATGGGGTTATTGACCAGCAGCAGCAGCCTTTGGGAGGATGTGGCCTGTCTGGTGACTTGCCTTTAATTCCTTCAGCTGCAGGATGCCTTGAAGTGTCAGCACTGCAAAAAGCAGTTCAAGTCCAAAGCTGGGCTGAATTACCACACCATGGCTGAACACGTCAGCAAGGTAAGGGAGCTGGGCTGTGCTCGTCTTGTGCCTCCTTTCTCCGTGCAGGTGAGGAAGCCATCCATCAAAATGCCACTCTCCATGATCTTTGTAAAGGAAGGATCCACCTTTGGAGCATTTCACACACTGCTCAGCCTGGATGGTGGCCTTCCCCCTTCCTCCTCTGGTAGTGAGTTAGGCTCCTGTTGATCCTGATAAGTAGAGCAGAGGACTGAAAAAATAAAACAGGGTTTCAGATCCCAGCATGGGGAAGATCTGGTGAGTATGGTGAGGTGGATTTTGAGTGGCAAAGCTCTGCCTCCAAAACTGTGCCTGCAAATCTGGGACTGATGGGTTCTGCCTTGCGCAAATCTCAAAATCTGATCTTTAGCTCTTCAGTGTGCATGGGAGAAGCAGCCACAAAATTTATCATGAATAAATTTTGTACATCTCTGAGATACCAGGGCAAGGCATAATTACATTTCTACATGTCCCATGCTTACCAGTTGTGACTTGTCTTTTACCTGTGCCTTAATCTCCTGCTCTTCAATCTTGCTGATGAATCCTCTGTGCAGGAACTGCTCCTGGGTTTCTCAGCTGACCTTTGGGTGTAATCACAAGAAAGGCCTGAGCAGATCCAGCACATACCAACGAAGCAGTGGGAGATCCAGCTCTCCTAATGAGAGGTTCCCTCCAGCCCAGGGCAGCTCCCTGCAAGGCAGGGCTTTACCATCCACTCCTGGCACAGAGGACATGAGTAAATGGTTGACTCTGTCGCTTCTGTTACTTCCTTGTTTCCAGCCTGTTCCTGTGGAAACCGCTGGACTTGGTGAACAGGAAGAGCGGGAAAGGCTGAGGAAAGTGCTAAAGCAGATGGGAAAACTGAAATGCCCCAATGAGGTACGAGAACAATTCTTGTTTCTCGTTCTGTGAAAAAGTGGAAGGAGAGAGTCCCATGCAGAAGGGGACGTGTACTCTGCAGACATCCCTTGGCATGTGCTCAACGTTTCCACCTTAGCTCAGCCATCCCAATCCCTGTCCTAGTGGCTCTGTGCACTCCAGCAATGGGACAGCCCTGCAGGAGGGTGAGCACAGGGCAGACTGAGGAGCGCTGGAGGGCAGGTTCTGCCTCCTGAGCTCAGGAAGGAGCACAGCCTGTCCTGGGCACAGCATAAAACCAAACCACACCAAAAGCAGAGCCAGCGGGTTGCAGACAAGTCACGAACAGGTAAGGGAGGCGTGTGGCAGAGGTTTGTCCCGCGGGTGTGCTTTGCTGTCCGTGCAGGCAGCGCCTCCCCAGTGCCTTCCCCTCCCGCTGCCTGCTGTGTGTCTGTCCAGAGAGCTCTGTCCGTGTGTTTGGGCAGGGAGTGCCGGGGCGGGGACAGCTCCTCCCGTCCCTCCAGGGCATTGTCTGTTGTGCTTGTGCCTGGCTCTTTGGGAACTGTCAAATTCCCCAGCACTTGGACGGGATGGGTTGGCAGAGCTGCTCTTCAGAGTGGGCTCCTCGGGAATGCTGCTCTTCAAAGTGGGCTCCTCGGGAATGTTTCTCCCTGGAGAAACAGCACCCCAACCTTTTGGCCTCGTGAAACCCCAACCCTGCTTAACCTTCCTCTTCTCCCCATCTCCATAGGGCTGCGTGGCCAACTTCTCCAGCCTGATGGGCTACCAGTACCACCAGAAGCGGTGTGGCAAGCAGCTTGCCGAGGCCGACAAGCCCGTGTTCAGCTGCCCACACTGCGGCAAGAAGTACAAATCCAAGGCTGGCCACGACTATCACGTGCGGTCAGAGCACACGGCCTCGGTGAGCCCCCCGGAGGCCCCCGCGGCCCGAGGAGCGGGGCCATCCCCCCCCGGGGGGGACTGCAGAGCTGCGGAGCCCGTGGGCAGGACCGAGCCGGGCAGGGCCGGGCCGGGCAAGGCAGGTGCAGCCGTCGGGCCGGTGTTGTTTTCTCCCTCAAATCACCATGATGTGTGTTGTACCATGCAGTGCTGGGGGGAACAGGGTGCAGCCTCATCCACCCCTCCAAAAATGCTGTTTTATGGGAGTGGTCAGCAGCATCGCCTTTCCCCAGTGCCCACAGGGCTTTGCTGCAGCCCACCCTACATCTATGCCGTGCAGGAATAAAAATCCAGACCTCAGGCCGCTCCCTCACAAGTGCCGGCTGCTTGCCAGTGCTGGGGTGGCAGGCTCTATCCCTGGGGAGCATCCCTTTCTGTTCTGTTGATCCCTACTGACAGTGCATCCAACGCTAATCACTCCCTAAATCTAATAACTGGAGACATTTATACCCGTGGGAGCACGGAGGGACACAGCCTATGGCTGCTGCTGGGCTCAGGGAGGCGGGTGCTCCCCTTGCTCCCATGCTCCAGGGCAGAGGCACAAAGCAAGCCTGGAAACACACAGCCCAAATCCCAGCATCCCCATCCCAGGGCCGGAGAGCTCACTTGTTCTCTTGTCATGCCCTCCCTGACTCTGTCTCTCTTGCAGCCTCCAGAGGAGCCAGAGGTGAAGCCAGAGCCTGCTCCTGTAGAGGATTTTGAGAGGACCCCGAGTGGCCGCATCCGCCGGACGTCGGCCCAAGTCGCCGTCTTCCACCTCCAGGAGATAGCAGAGGATGAGCTGGCCAGGGACTGGACCAAAAGGAGGATGAAGGATGACCTGGTGCCTGAAACAAAGCGGGTGAGCAGCTTTTAGTTCTGCTTTTGGTTCTTTTAGTTCTGCTTTTGGTTTTGCACTAGCTGTACACAGAGATCCCAGGATTCTAGCCTGGCTCCAGCTGCACACGGAGATTCCAGGATTCCAGCCTGGCCCCAGCTGGTTGAGGGCTCACATGTCTCACTTGCTGTGCCTTAAATTAATTAGCTGTGATGGCAGATTTATTGCTGAAGAGCCCACCCAGCGCAGGCTGAGCCGCTGTGGTCTGGAGGCTCCCAGCACAGGCAGCTGTGCCCTTTGGAGGGAGAGGTGCACTGGGAAGAGATCAAGGTCTGGCCCCGAGAGTGTTGGGGTGGGAGGTCATTTCTGGTCCGTGCTGAGCAGGGAAGTAGAGGCTGGCAGCCAAGAGGAGCACGTGAAGAGAGCAGATCAGCTCTGAAACCATCTCCCTTGTGCTGTCACAGAGCAAAGATGCCCCAGGCAGAATTCCCTCCCTTCCACATCTCGTCCTTAACTTCTGGGAGATGCTTTCCTGGAGGTAAAAGGCCTGCAGCATCCCAGAGCAGTGCTGCTGGGAGCAAAGGCAGTGAGTGGAGACAGGACTGAGCCCCCCAAGCTCCAGCAGCAGTGCTGTGGGGTTTGCACAGGGCCCCAAAGGCTTGAGCTTTTTGTAGGCATTGGAGTGAGTACACATTAAACCAAACCTCCCTTCTGCCTGTGGGAGGGCTTGATTATTCCTGGGGGTGTACTAAAGCTGAAATTCCCTCAGGTATGCTCCTTCTGAACTGTAAAAGAAATGAAGCAGCACTAAATCATAAACCATTTCAGTGTAAAGGGAAAAAAAGAGAGGGAATAGTTCTTTTTGTTTGCCAGGACTCAATGCAGAGTCTCTGCATGAGGTGCAGCCTGTTTCCTGAGCAGGTGACTCTGCAGGTAGGTGCCAGGCCTGTTCCCTGCTCTGAAGAGTTGGGCATCTCTTGTCCAGTGCTCTGAAATTCACTCTGGCAAGATATTGGGCACATTGCAAAGATGAAAGCGAGGATCAGGGGGCAGCAGGACAGTGTGAACAGGCCCAGCCCAGAGAACCTACCCCAAGCCATGAGACCCCAAGTCTCAGAGCCAGCTTGGAGAAGTGATGGTGGTCACCAGGAAAAGGGGTGGCAGGAGAGCAGAGCTTGCACCAAAATGCCTTCCTGCTCCCACAGCCTGTCCCATGCTGTCCTGGCACCTGTGTGTGCTCAGCAGAAGTGCCACCATGGTCCTGCAGAGACCCAGAGAAGCTAAGCCTGGCTCACCTCTGGTCTGCATGTGGTGGACAGCTGGAAAACCAGCACAGAAACAAACCAGCAGCTTCTTTACCCCCATTGGCACCCCAGTGAGGCACTGGCTATCCACCTTGGGGCAGAGCTGGGCATTTCAGGGCCAGAACTGCTTGCAAACATTTTATTTCCCCGGTGCTTGGTGTTGCCATTGTTCGTTTCCAGATGACTTCAGCTGCAATGCATTAATAACTTTTAAAAAACCAAGCCCAAAGTAGCTGTTTCATGTCAGATACTGTCAGAGAAGAGGTGTGCTGCTCTCTTTTCCCCTCTCCTGTCTCAGCTCTTGCATTCTTCTCTTTCCACTTGGAATTGTTCCCTTTACTCATGGCTTTGGGTATTTTCTTTTTGAATTGAGGGAGCAGCCAGGACCCCAGGCCTGGAGCAGGGGCACATGCTCAGGCTGACAAAGGGATCGTAAAGGTCCCAGCACTGGTGTAACTGCTCCATGAAGTGCTGGTGGGCTTTTTTAATGAGACATTTCTTGTGTTCAGAGCCTGATTGTTTAAGTTTAACTGAGCCCCATCTCAGTGCTAAAAAGCAAAGAATTGCTGTGAGGTTGGCAGAAGCAGTTTTGCATTAAAGATGGGAAAGGGGGGAATTGGATCAGCTCCCAGATGGCAAAACAAGGCTCTTGAGTTGGAGGATCAAGAGACCTCAGGCCCTGCATGAAATCCCACATGGATTTTGGAGGAAGTCAGTGTAGTGGGTGAATCCGTACAGAGCCGTGCGTGTGCCTCTGGGTGCGTCTTGCAGTGACTGTCACGTTCCCTTGACAACACTTTATAATCTGTTCAGTCTATGACATTTTTTCTCGATGAGCGATGCTGGGAGGAGGTGGGAGGCAGGTTCTGCCCAGGCAGGCTGGTGGGAGCTTGCTGACTTCAGCACGCTCTGAGCTGCTCTGCTCAGCCACAGTTTGCATTGCTCAGGATTGCTTTGCATTTACAAGTTGGTTCAGTTCAGGGGGTAGAAAGAAACCTCCCAGCAAGTGCCCAGTTTGACCTCATTATGGCCCCAAAACAGAACTGCCTGTGGGACAGCTTTGTGCCACATGGGAGGCTCAGAGCAGCCAGCAGCGTCCCCATGTCCCCGTGCCACCACCCCATCACATGTGTGTGGTGGCCCTCCCTGAGGGAGCTGACAGCCCAGAGCCACTGGAGCAGCAGGAGGATGATAAACACCAGTTCACCTTGACCAGGGCACTGGTGGGAACTGATGGAATTCCCAGAAAAGCTACCACACCACCACCACCACCTCTTCTTCCCCCTGAGTCATGCCCAGCCATTGGGAGTGCACTGCTGGGCCTGCAGAGCCTGTACTGGACACAGAGAGAAGTGGGATGTCAGGGATGTCAGCAGATTGCAGCTGCTCCTTCACTTTTCAGCAAGTCCTAGGGATTTCCAGGATTCCAGAGGGACAGATGCTTCCCAGCTCAGGTCTGTAGCCAGAGGTGGACGGATACACCCAAACTCCCTGCAACACAGGACAAGCTCCATCCCTGAACTCTCCAGTTCCCCACCATGGTGCCAGCAGTCAGTGCTGATTTCAAGGAAGCTGATGAAGAAAGCCACCGCTCTCCATCCCTTTTCCAGGCAGCAAAACCTTTTCCCAGGGGAAGGCACAAGCTGATGGGACACAGGGGTTCTCAGCCCCACTGCAGCCCCTGCTCTGGGGCCACGTGGCAGCCGGTCCCAGCCGGGGACAGGGACAGAGGGACGCTGGGTCTGGATGCCATTGGTGGCCTGTGGTGGGATGCGTTCGCCTTTCCCCGGGAGGATGGATTCCTTCACACCAAAGCAATGGCAGCAGAATAAACGATTGCTGCTCCATCCCAGGCCCTGCGCTGCCTTCGGTCTCTGCTAACCAAATCCAGCATTTCTAAATATACACTGGAGTCTTATTTTCTCGCTCCGATCTTTATTTGCCTCCAGATAAGCTGAAACAGATGGGGTGTTTCACAACAGCCGCTTGCTGGGGATGTCAGATGGGGAAGGGCACACCCCTGCTGCTTTTCTGGGAAAAATCCCCTCTGCAGAAGCTCCATGAAGATGATGCCGACCCTCCTCTGGCCTTTGCTGGGGCTGTGGCCTGCCATGAGCAGCCTGGAGGCTGCAGGTTCCCAGCTCATGGCAGTGTGCTCTGGGATGCAGTGGGGCATGAGAAACAACCTCCTTGAGCAGAGAGAAGAGGCATCTAAAAGGCAGAAGGGGAGAAAATGCTGTGGATATTCCACTGTTTCAGTGTGACACTTTCTTGGTGGAGCTTGAGGTGGGGTTCCTTGCTTCAAGGTGCTGGAGGTTGTGCTGGGCTCCTGCAGCCCAGGCAGGAGCTGTGCCACACAGGGAGGGATGCAGAGCTCCTCTCTGGGATACATGGACATTCCATTTGCCTCCCCACAGCTTGGGGTCTCACTGTCAGTAGGGGCAGCCATTGAGTCTGCACGTCCCTGTGGAGTTTGGTGTCGTGGGATGCCAGGGATCTGGAGCAAGGGGCAGCCGTAGGCCAGTCATAAAGCTAAAGGGGAAAAGTCATCTCCAGGCTTGAGGTTTTATACTGGAACCAGGATAAATTCCAGAGCAGAAGAGGCTGGCTTGGGTTTGTCCCCCAAAACAATGGCCCTGCAATGCAGGCAGGAGCCAGGCTGAGCCCTGCAGACTCGTGGCACTGGGGGCCAAACCGGATCCCAGCTCCAGCTGTGGAGCCGAGTCCATCCTTCCTCCCTTGCTCTGCAGACCCTCCAGTGGGACCTGGCTGCTGCCCAGCACCCCTGGGTGCATTTTGCCTTCACAGCATCACCCACAACTTCCACAGGATGAAGGGAGAGCTCTACCTTGTGCTGGGGACCTGGTGAGGCTTCAGGGGCGCTCATCAGCTGAGATGTCCTGGATGGTTCTCATTTACTGTGATATATTTTGGGGAAGGGGAGAGCTGTCTAGGGAGCAGAGAGGATTGAAATATGAAAGTTAATTAAATAAAACTGTCAGTCAGAGGAAACAAACCTTCCCAGCCCAGCATCCTTCGACTGTTCACAAGAGATGGGCTGTAGCCAAAACCAGTTGTAGTCGTTTAATGATTTGGCCATGAAAATTTTCACTTACAGGCTGTTTGAGGAAAATAAATGGAAAAGAAAAAAAAATATAAAATATTCCATGCCTGGGGCTTCCTCTTAATAGAGACATAAAGATGACTTTGACATTCCCAGAACCGCAGCGCCCTGGGAAGACATGGGATTTGCATGTTATTGTGCAGGACTGCTGGAGGAGAGCAGGGAGGGATTTTTCTCTGGAGTGGGAAAGCAGAGCAGCAGAGTCCACATCTCTGAACATCCCCCCTCGCCTCCTCCCCGGGGACAGGCAGAGGGAGAGGTTGTTGCTGGGGCTGTGTGCGGTTACCGTTAATGTTTGCTCATTCATGGGATTGATTGGGTTTTAATTATGGAGGCTGCTTGGCATCCTGGCTCTCAGTATCAACGGCAAAAAGGGACTCCTGTGTTCTACCCTGGAGGTGGCATTGCCTTCCCTGGGCTGGGGACCAAGCTCTTGGTAGATGCACCATCCCAGAGCTTCAAAGAGCTCTGCTGGCATCTCCCCCAGCCGCAAAGCACGACAGAATTGCAGCACTGGGGCTCGGGGGAGTTTTCCAAATCCACATCCGTCCTTAGCAGTGTTCACAGAGCTGTTTCACAAGGCCCTGTGCCCCTGCCCCTCACATGGAGCCCAGTGCTCCCTGACCCAGCCGTGCCCTGCCACGTGCCATGGGGAGGGCTGCAGGGGCACATGGATCACTTCAGTTTGAGTGGAAAGGAGGGGCTGGCATCTGAGCCTGCAACATCCCCAGCTTCCCTTTGCAGGGAGGTTTGGGAACAGCTGGGGTGAGCTGGCCAAATGCAGCTTTATCAGCATGTTCAGGAAAAGTCACAGCTGGAAAAGAAATCCAGCCAGCCTCCTTTTGCCTCCAAATCACCAGCTCCAGGACTTCAGGGAATGTTTGGCCTGGGTTTGCACCTCTGCAATCACCTTGTGGCCGTGCATCCTCTCATCCAGCATGGATGCAGGGATGCAGTTGGGTCCCGTGTTCAGAGGTGCCCATGGAGAGTGGCAGGTACCCACACCTGCACCATGCATTGCTCCCACTCAGAAGGTTTGGGGCTCAGAACTGAAACAGCACCCACTGTGAGCTCTAGCAGAGCTCACCAGGCTGGGCTGGCAGTTGTGCTGGGGTGGCTGTGCAGCCGGTGTCCCCTGCAGACCTTGGCACAGGGCTCGGGGTCAGGCTGGGAGCAGCCCTGCAGGTAGGGCCAGGCACAGTGGCTGGGAGGCCCGGAGGTGCCTGGAGCTGCCACAGCTGCCTTGGCTTGTGCTGAACAGGCAGAACTGGAGTTGGGAAGGCCAGCCTGCTATGCTAACCCTCAAAGTCGCTAATAAAGCGCTAATTAAAAGCACTTGGAAGGAGCAGCCCTGCCAGAAGGAGAGGCAGAGACACAAGAGCCTTTCATTGTTTAACGGGTTGTGCCCATTCATCCATGGAAGGCAGCCATGGAGGCCCCTCTGCCCAGTGTGCAGCGTTGTTTATTCCCTGTTTATAAAACACGGCAGAAGGGCTGTGCTGACACCATGCACCAAAAGGCTGGGTCCAGTCCTGGCCCTGTGGGCATGCACCCGGGAGCAGGAGCCTCCTCTCCTGTTTGCCAGGGACTCCTCGCTGGTGGCAGGGCACTGGGCAGAGCCACCTCCCTGCTCTGCGTGCCCAGGGGGAGAATGGCATCTCAGGAAGCCTCCCAAGTAGTTTTCAGCTCCTATTCCCTTCAGAGCAGGGCAAGACCCATGTGAAGAGGCAGGACCATGGACTGGGCTGGGGTGTGCAGCTCTGCTAATCAACTGCTATTGTTCACAGCTCAATTACACCCGGCCAGGGCTCCCAAAGCTCAATCCCAGGCTGCTGGAAAACTGGAAGAATGAAGTGAAGGAGAAGGGCCGCATCAACTGTCCTAACAACGTAAGGATTGTCTGTTCTTCTGTGGGGTGGCTGGTCTCCATCTGCAGGAGGAAGGGGGAAATTTTGGGGCAGAAATCCACCAAAAATGGTTCTTATTGGGTCTCTGATCACAGTGATGCTCAGACACTCATTTCACCTCCTTTCCCTGAGCTTGCTGCTGTGTCTGGTTAAAGCATGTCCCACCTTTGTGATCCTCCCTGTGTGCTCATGCCACCGGGCTTGGGGACAGGGCCACCCTTGGGCTGATGGTGCAGCATTGCCCAGTTTGAGCTCTGGAGCGGCCTTTGGGAAGCTCCCAAGATCCTGACAGGGTGAAGGCTGCACATCCTGCACAGCCTTTTGATGCAGAAAACCTGCTTTTCTCAGAGTTAAACGAAGATAGATTTAAGCCGAGCTTTTTAAAGCCCTGAGACAAGCACGGACCTCAGGGCATGGTGCGTGTGCCTCATCTCCCTGAGAAACACAGCCTTGGCCCGAGCTGACAGAGAGGTGAACCCCACCCTGGTGCTGAGCCTGGATTTATCATCCCAAACAAAGCCTTGCTAATGGGAGTTCTGAAGGAAGCAGTTCCCACAAGGCCAGGGGAGCCGGGCTGCCTAATTAATGTCATACACAGGCACTTGGAAAAGACGTTGCTCAGAAACTGGTCATGCTGCTGCCTGGGTGATTTCTCCTCTCTATTAAGCCTCTGCTGTGGCTCCAAGAGCTCCTGTAGCCCAGCAGGACCTCCCGACAGCTCACAAATGTAGGTTTTCCACGGAGACATTGAGGGGAGACGTTTCTCAGCCCGTTGCAGAGGGATGTGGCCATATGACTCCCATTAGCGTTAATGGGAAACGTGTGACCAGAGCCCCGGGCGCCTCGCAGAGCATTAACCTCACACTGCTCAGCCGGGGCCCGTGGCCGTGCTGGCTCAGCAGGCTCCTGGCCACAGCTCAGAGGAAGGCAGGGGATGAGGGGGATCGTGTCTAACCCTGCTTTGTTTTTTCCTGCAGTGCTGTGAAGCCATTTACTCCAGTGTCTCGGGGCTGAAAGCTCACCTGGCCAATTGCAACAAGGTAGGTCCTGCCTTTTACACCCTTTTCTCAGAGGTGGCTTTGGTGTTGGGTTTTCTCTCCCCCGCCCCAGCTGGTTTGGAAGGAACAAGGCAAGGGACAATGGCACAGGTTAAAGGATGGTGGTACTGGAGGTCTGGCTGGCAGTGCTGCTTCAAGTGAGTTGACACCAGGCAGATGGAGGCAGAGAGGCTCAAGCTGAGTAGATGGGATGGAGGGGATGTAGCTGCTATTCAGTTACGGAGAATAGGTCCCACAACACAGGCTTCTCACCCAAGCCCAGACTTCTGTCACACAAAGACACACAGGGAGCTCCAGACACACTTGGACCCACAGCAGTCCTGCCTCATGTCCTCCTGTCCCACAGCAGCCCCTGCCCAGCTGGTCCCTGCAGCCCCCAGATCATTCACATGCCCTTGGCTGAGCATGGCCAGCATGTCACACAACAAGCACACACAGCCACAGCAGCTCAGAGCCAAGGGGCTCAGTGCTGCAAACTGAATGTTTGCTGAGGCAGGTGGGAATCAGGAGTCTTCTTCCGTCAATTTGGGCAGCCCTACAGCCCCTCTGGAAGCCCAGCTGGAGGGATGCTGGTGTGGTGCCTCCTGGGATAAGCTGGGTCTGGAACCTGGTCCATGCAGAGAGCAGTGCCCTCCCACTGGATGGATGGAGCAGCCCTGAGCTCCAGTGCCCTGCAGCTGCCCCAGGGGAGGGATCAGGAGCTCTGTGTAGGTCCCTCAAATTGGAACCAAGTAAGAGTTGCTAAAGCTTTATACCCTGAAACATTTCCAGCTGCAGCTTCCATTGAATGGAGCTTCCAGGAGGCAGCTCCAATACATACCCTGTGGTTATTAAAAACACCAACTCCTGCACTCCTCCAGTGCTAGCTGGAACAGCAGCCCTTAATGAGATCATTTAGAAAATGGGCTGCAGAGATCCGGCAGGAGAAGCTGGATTTATGCAGGATAAAAGAGCAAACACAGAAGACGAGGACAGCTCCTTCTCTGAAAGAAAATGGAGCTGGTTTCTGGTTAGTTCCATGCACAGGAAGCAGCCAGGATTTGCATGAACATTTCCATGAAGCACAGAGCTGCACCCTCTGGATCTGGCCCAGCTGGGGCCAGGTGTTGGGAGTCAGCAATGGGGAGTTGCTCTGTGACCCCCACACTGCCATCAGCAGGATTCTTCCCCTTAGGTGAGAGGATTTACTTTGAATGCATGTGCCAACAAATTTGGCATAAATAAATCAATCACAGCCCCTCCAGAACTGGTCTGTGATTCCCACTCTAAAATGCTACAGAACTGGTTGCAATACACAGAGCCTTAGCAAGAGCAGAGGCTGCTCCCAGGCAGCACCCCATCCTCAGTGGGGATTGATGCACCAGCATGATTTTGCACGAGGATTCCTGAAGCCAGGCCTGTTCTCTCCTGAAATGAGAGACCTGTCTGACTCAAGATTTACAGCTGTGGAGAAATTCCCAGGGAGGAAATATATGGCCCAGGGGGGGCCCATCCATAACCCCCTCATCAATAGAGAGCCCATTATCTCCCACGTGCCATGACCTACAGCAGGGCCAGGAGATCTGTCATCCCACCAGGGCGCTGGTGACAGGAATCCAGCACTCACCCTGGCTCTTTGACAATGTAACAGGAAAATGAGGTGAGTGTTGGACATAAATCTGATGGTGGCTCAGTCCCAGAGGATCACAGATCTGCTGATAGCGAGGACAGGGGGCAGTGGCCCCATCACCTGATGTTGGGGACACACAGGCAGCAGCATGAGTGTCATGCACTGAAACTCAGAAAGAGGATGTGGCTGTGAGCTCCTGGCCCAGCACCGAGGCTGGCAGAGATCTGGTGGTTCGGTCATGAGTGTCTGAACCACCTGTGTCTGTTTATTTTGTGTCACTTTGAGGTCATGGGAGGGCCAGGGCCAGGGGAGGGCCACCCCTTGGGGCGCTTTGGGCTCTGCAGGAGCTGCTGTGTCTTGCAGGGGGAGCACTCAGTGGGCAAGTACCGCTGCCTCCTGTGCCAGAAGGAGTTCAGCTCCGAGAGCGGAGTCAAGTACCACATCATCAAGGCTCACTCGGAGGTAAGGAAACAGCTGGAGCTGGGCTGGTCCCTGCTCCAATACACACATCCTTGGGCTGTCCCCATCCATCCATCCATCCATCCATCCATCCATCCATCCATCCATCCATCCATCCATGTCTGTTAAGAGCAGAGCTGACTAACAGCTCCCTGTTAGCCTGGGGGATTCTTCCCTGTCCCCCTTGGTGTCCCTGACACCCCCAGGCTCATTGCAGCAGCTCAGCCTGAGCAGTTTGACCTCAGAGAGGTGATGCCAGTGGGGTGAGGGGTGGGCCAGGCTCGGGGTGTGTGTGCTGGTGCTCCAGTGTCTGCCCCCAGGACTGTCACTAACCCCCGTGTCACTCCACGGACACAGAACTGGTTCCGAACCTCCTCAGAGGCCAGCCGGAAAAAGAAAAACAGGGAACAGCTTTCTTCCAGCAAAGAGGAGAAAAAGAAAAGCACAAACGGGAAGAAAAGGGGGAGAAAACCCAAGGAGAGGCCTTCGGAAATGTCCCCGAAGGGCAGAGAGAGCGTGGCAGCAAAGACTAATCACAAGAAAAGCCTCGAGCACTGGGAAGGCTCCCGGGGCAGCCCCGAGGGGGACGAGCTCGGCCTGAAGCCCCCGAGCCAGCGGAAGGGAGGAGCCAGCAAGATGCCCGAGAAATGAGCAGCTCAGAGACTCGTCTCCGAGGATTCGTTTACAGCCCAGGGTAACAGGGTGGGGGTCTCTCCCAGTTTTATGTCCCCTCCTCCCCATCCCACCTCCTCTCGCCCCACCCTCCTCTCACCCTCTTTTTACAAAAAGAAAAAAAAAAAGACAGAAAAAAAAAAAAAGACAGAAAATACCAGTTAACCACTTTAAACAAATCACGGACCTTGTTTCACACTGGAAAACAAACAGGATCAAGGAAGCTGGAACGTTCTCCACCCCCTGCCCATGTACATAGCCCTCGGTGGGGCCCCGCTGCCTCCCCCGGCCCTTGGTTCCCTTCCCCTGCGCCAACCTGGTGACGCTTGAGCGAAAGAGAAGTGCAATAGCAGCGGGGTCCGTGGGCAGGGACCCTCCCCAGCGGCTCCAGGGGGAGCTGCCCGGCTGTCCAGCGGCCTCCCAGCTCCGGGTGGTGCTTCCAAAGATGTTTGAGCCGGCCGGGAGGGGATGCTGCGGTGTGGGAGGGTTGGCAGCGCTTCCCCTGCAGCCGTGATCCGGGGGAAGGTGCTGGGCAGGGAGCGGCTCTGAGGACTCGGCAGGGTTGATTTGTTTGTCTGCAAGGCACGGGCAGAGCAGGGAGCAGGGAGAGGGATGCACACTGGCGGTGTGAGCAGGAGAGGGGGTGCTCTGCAGCTGGTCAGGCTATAGAGGGTTTAATGGGAAGTTGTGGGAATGCTGTGGGCACCGTGAGAGTGGCAGTGCAGCCGTGGAGGGGGTGCAGTGAGGGAGCTGTGCCTCGGTGCTGGGGTTGTGTGTGCTGGGCCTGGAGTGCTGTGATGGCAGAGACACGATGGCAGTGCCAGGGTCAGGGGGAGATGGCAGCCCAGGAGCTGCCCCCCAGCCTGGGGGCATCCAAGGGTGATTCAGGGTCCCACTGTGCTCCATCCTGACGGTGCCATCACCCAGGAGGGAGGAATGGAGTCTCAGTTCCCCAGCTGTGGCCACAGGGATGGGGCAGCATCGAGAGACAATCATGGGTCCTGCTGTAGGGTGAGCCCAGTTGCTGCCCAGCCACCTCACACTCCCCTTGTCCTTTTGGGCTGGGACCCACCATAGGAGGAGTCTCTGCTTCCAAAGATGCATCTGAGCCCCTGACCACCCTCCTCAGGTGGTGCCATCCCTGCTTGTGCTCTTCCCTGGAGCTCTCCTGTGCTGACCCTGTCATCACACCTTGCTCAGCCCAGGGGAGCCATCCCTGGACCGGGGTGTGCCCGTCTCCAGACAAAACCAGGCTACCTCGGTCCTTGGGAAATGGGCACGTTTCCTCTCAGTAGCACAACAGAAAACCTTAAATTGATTTTTCCCCTATGCAGAGCCAGGAAAGAGGCATCAGAGGGGGAGCTTCTGCTTTTGCTTTAATCAATTCAAACCTCAGTCCTCACTTTCCTTCACTGCTCCTTGTTGCCCACCAGAGGCTCGGTATCATTGCCTGCTGTGAGCAGCAGCTCAGTCACAATTAACATTCTCCACTGGCAGGTTATTCCAGCCAGAGAGGGGGGACAGGGGTGGCTGAAGCCAGGGTGGCTTCTCAGGGGTCCAGGGCTCCTGCTCAGTCCATGGCTCTGGCACCTGGATCCACCCTCTGCATTACCCAGCAAGCGGCTGAGGGAACTGCCTGAGCATTGCTGGCTGTGCTGGGCCTCGAGGCAATTAGTGAGAAAGCTTAATTAGTCACTGCAGTTCAGCCTGGTCGCTCCTGCACTTCATCAGATCATGTTTGGATGGTGTCACTGGGGTAGATCCTGCCTCCCTGGGGAACAGGGAGAGATTTGGGAGCTGTAGGACAGCTTGGAACGGCTCACAGGCAGCAGCAGGAAGGGGAGCACAGGCAGAGCTCTGGGCCTGGCACTGAAATCTCTGTGAGGGTGCAGAGGGAGCCTCTGGATCCCAAAATCATGTCCTGCCATGGAGGGAAGGCCCCAGGAAAGCTCCATGTCCTGGCCTAGGGAGGGGAGGTCTGGGTAGCCCAGGCTGCTGGCTTGGATGGTCACCACACAATCCTCAGTGTCTCCCCTTGGGCATGGCCTGGGACTCTGTTCTCATTAACATGCAATTAATTGGCTTCTCATTGATTAAATTAACTGGCAGCACTGTGCTCCACAGGCAGGGAGCCCTGGGAGCTGCTCAGGGCAGGGTAGACATGGGAAAGGGCCAGCTCAGGGGGTCATTCTGAGGTCCAGATCAAAATTCACCTCTGCTTCCATAATGAGTGTCTGGCAGGAGCAGGGACAGCTGCAGTGGCCTCACGGAGTGACACCAGCCTGGAGGGGACCCCAGGGACCATCTGGGGTCTCAGGGCAGGCAGTGAGAGCAGCAGTCCTGGTGCTGGGGCTGTCCCTGTCACCCTCAGAGCACTCACAGCCCCAGTGAGGGCAGCACCATGGTCAGGAGGGAATTCCTATGAGAAAGTGAAATCTTCAGGGTTTTTTCCCCACTAGTAATCACTCAGAGAGGAACATGTTTCCCCCCCACACTTTCTCCATGAGGCATCCTTTACTCTCCTGCTTGTCCAGGGAAGGTTCCAGAGCAATGCTGGGATCCCCAGCACCTGCCAGTGCCACGACAGGTGAGCAGGCAGGGCCAGGTGACACCACAGTGTCACTGCTGGGGGCCAGTAGGTTGTGCCCCTTCAGGTGCTCCCAGTGAGGCAGTGCCAGAGGGGAATCCACCTTGATCCAGAGGGACAGGCCGAGGCTGTGGGACCAGATGGGGGATGAGTTATCCTGTCCCCTTCCATCCCATCACCCGTGGGATTTGGGGATTTTGTCACCCTGGGCACTGTGACACTGTGGTCCTGCACCTCCACTGTTGGGGAAACCCACCATCCCATCACCCATGTCCCCAAGGAAAGGGTTAAACCTCCATGGGAGCAGGCATGGGCTGCAAGCCTGTGGGAAGACCTCATAAAAAGCTTGGATTGTGGGGAAGTGGGGAACCTCAGCACCAACACCTGCCCTGGCGGGGTTGGCTGTGTCACACCAGTGGATGGAGCTGCCCGAGCCTGGAGCATCTCCCACCCCCAGGAGCCCTGAGAGCATTTTGTTCTTTTCTTTCTCTCCTCGTGACACCCATCCCACGGCATATCCGAATGTTTCTCGTCGATGCCAGTTATTAGTGCATAAGTGTATTTTGGGGAAAAAATTAAAACAGAAAAAAAAAAACCACAAAAAAAAGGAAAAAAAATTTTCAATTTATCACTTGTAACCATATATATAAATATATAAATATATATATTAAAAAGTGTTTATTTGCAAAAAATAAAATTGTTTTAACGGTAAACTATCTTATAATAAACTCCCGATTTGTGATGATCTGTTCTTTTGTTAATCATTGACAAATCCTCAGTTGGAGAGTACTGTCCGAGCAGCTCCGAGCGGCGCCGAGGCGCTCCCTGTACTGTATGTATGAAACAGCTGTATCGAATAAATGGTTATTGATTTTTTATTAGCACTGTCAGCGCCGTTATTGGGCACTTGGGTGGGAGGGTTGGATAAGGGATCTGGGGGGGTTTGGGTTTGTCCTTCCTGGCAGTGGCTGGGAGGATGGAGCATGTGGTCACCAGCCTAGGGGTGCCACAAAACAGGGATGGGGAAGGTGAGGACTGGTGGTGCCACAGCCCCCCACTCCATGGTAGAAATCCCCCTAAAGCTGTTTCCACTCCACCCATCCCATCAGCAGCATCCAGCGTGCCCTGGCCACATCCAGCCCAGGGCTTCTCCACTCTGGGGAGCTCTGCGGGACCCGGGGCCACCCCCCGGCTCTCCCAGCGTGGGAATAAATCCTCTTCTGCTCCCTAATGGCTTTTTTGGCACGGAACCCAAGGCAGGGACAGATTTAGACGGATTTCTCTGCTGGCTGAGAGCGCAGCCTTTCCCCACGGCGCTCTCGGCTCCCCAGGGACGGGAGGGGACCCCGGGAGCGCTGCTCGCCCCCAGCCCCGAACATGCGGTACCACAACAAACCCCAGCCCCGGGATGGTGCCGAGTAAAACCAGATCCCAGCCAGAGCCCCGGGACCCCCACGGGTCCTCCCAGCTGTCCCCAGTGCCCAGCGACATTGTCAGAGCCAGGCTCACCCAAACCGCGCTTCCCCCAAGCTGCAGGATGGTGGGGGGTGCTCTGTGCTGCATCCCTCAGCGCCTTGGGCAAAGATGCTGCTGCGGAGCCACCCATAGGTACCCACAGCATCACTCTGAGCCCCGCAGCACCCAGCCATGCCCAAAACTCCCAGCTATACCCCAAACACCCAGCTATACCCCCAAACACCCACCCGCACCCCACAACGCATCCCTGTGCCCCACAGCACCCAGCCGTGCCCAAAACACCCAGCAATACCCCAAACACCCACCCACACCCCACAACGCACCCCTGTGCCCTATAGCACCCAGCCGCGCCCAAAAAACCCAGCTATACCCCAAACACCCACGTGCACCCCACAACCCACCCCTGTGCCCTACAGCACCCATCCGAGCCCACATAGATCCATCTCCCCGCACAGCTCTTACCCACGAGCACAGCGCCCCTCCGTGCCCCCCAGCGCCCCCATGGGTGCCCAATCCCCCCAAAGCCCTCCCTCCCATCCCGCACTACAAGTCCCGGGGATCCCCGCGGCAGCGCCGCCCCCGCCGCTCCCCGCCCGCTCCGCCTCTCCCCGCAGCACCATGGCCGCGGCCCCGGTGCCCGAGGGGGCTCCGGTGGAGCCGCACGACAGGTAGGACCCCGCTCGCTTTTCCCCGGGATGATCGCTCCGGGACGGGACCGGCCCCGCGGCGCCCCGGGGCCCCCGGTTCGGGTTCGCCGCCGGTTCGGGGCTTGCGGTGCCGGTGCCGTCCCCCCCGGTGCCACTTCCGCGAGTGGGGCCTCCCCGAGCCCATCGCTCCACGGAATCCCTGAGCTTTTCCCACCAGCCATTTCTTCCCACCCCCGCTTTATTCCTTGTTTATTTTCATCCTTTCCCCCCCCCCCTCCGTTTCATGTTGTTACCTTTTCCCTTATTTACCCTATTTTATGGTTTTTGCCCTTAATTTCCCATCTGATAAACCATAGCCTCCCATATTCCAAGCTTGCTCGCACATGCATCCTCTCCATCAAGATGAAGAGTGGGACAACCTAAACTTTTTTCCCCCAAACCCCCATACAGGGTGATTGCCTTCAGCCCCTCCACCCCCAACACTCATGTTTCCCCTCTATTTTCCATCCCCTTTTCCAGCACAAACCTCAGGGGACTGACTGCTCCCAAACATCAGTTATCTGGGTATTGCATTTGGAGCATCAGTGGTGCTTTGGGGATGTGGCAAAGCTTACAGGGATGGAGCATCCCTGTATCCCTGCTTGGAGGGTACCAACACCCCACCAACACTGGAGTCAGTGCCAGAGCATCCCTCCTGTTCCCACTCTTCCTGTTCCCATCCCTCCTGTTCCCATCCCTCCTGTTCCTGTCCCTCCTGTTCCCGTCCCTCCTGTTCCCATCCTGCATGTTCCAGCAGCTAAGCCCATTGCTGGCAGCTGCCTGTGCCCTTCCTGTGAGTCAGAGGTGGATAGTGGGGAGGATGAGGATGAGGATGAGAGGAAGGAGTCTCCCTGAGCTGTGCTGGTCGAGTGAGGGATGAGTAACTGGGTTGTGTAACAGAGCCCCTCCACCGTGGCTCCCACTTGCTATAAATAGCAACGGATAATTGGGTTTGCAGAGGGAAATGTTTGTCTTTTTGTGGTGAGGGAGCAGAGACCATAACAGAGCTGGAAGCTCTGAGCGTGGAGTTGCTGAGATGAACCATCAGCTCCAGATGGCTCCAGCCAGGACAGAGCTTGGTACAAGGCTGGGTAAACTGGGAATGACGTTCTGTGGGTTCCAGGATGGAAATGGGCCTGACATGTGACAGGGGGATGGCAGCCAGGTCCCTCCATCCCTTGTGTGGGCTCCTGCATCCCTCAGGCAGGTTCCTTCATTCCTCAAGCAGGTTCATCCATCCCATGGGGAGGTTCCTTGATCCCTTGGACATGTTCCTCCATTCCTTGGCTGTGTTCCCTCATCCCTTGGGATGGTTTCTTGGACGGGGAAGGCCCAGCCAAGAGCTGGCACACATGGATCCAGCCCAACTCAGCAATGGAGGAAGCAGGT